TATTTTTAAAAATCAATTTCGTTATATTAAATTGCATAAATAAAATAATAATCACAAAAATGTGCTTCTTTCTTTAAAAGGAAATTCTCCTTTTCTAAAAACCTGTTTATTAGTTGGTATACAAATGTGTCAGTCTAAAGCAAGGTCACGATAGAAGAGGGGAGTAAAGCCTGTTCATAGATATAAGAAAGTGACTAACTGATACGAATTAAGGAAAGAGCCGGGCAAGCTGTAAGAATGAAATATGGCCAAACAGGTCCGTACTTTGCTTAGAATTTAATTGTTTGAGGTTTTGTTAGGAAAGATACTAAACAATATTTATTTATTTATGTATGTATTAATTTAAATCTTAAATAAAATTACAAATTATTTTTATTACCTACTTAAATTACTTTAAATTATTCACATATATCAGTATCACTATCGCTATCACCGCCTTTTCTAATTATTATTTGTTCTATATTATTTACAATATGGATGGATTGTTCTGCTTTTTCTATATGCTTAACAGAATTTGCCCAACTTTGTGGAGGGATGTTAAAAACTTCGGTTTCTATAAGTTTGAGGACGAATCGCAGATTTCACTTGGTGCCAAACATGTTCAATGGGATTAAATATACAGTGGTAAGGTGAAAGTCTTAAAACTGTATGCCCTAGATTTTTTGCAAAATTATCATATCATATATTATTTTGTAGGTTCAACCTGGGTACAACCTTAATTAATTGCTTTTTGGTATAATCTTCGTGAAAATAAATGTCGTTATTATACATGCAGTTTTGGATTGTTGCTTTTGTGTCACATGAGGAGGGGTTTTTAGTCAACTGTCTACTGTGATAACTTGCATTGTCCATTACAATGACGCTATTAGGAAGAATGTTTGGAACTAGTTTGTTTTTAAACCAGCTTCAAATAAATCAGCGGTGGTGTCTTCATGGTAATCCAGAGAAGAATCTTTAGAGAAAGTCCATTTGGAATCCAACTATCTTTAGAGCCAGCATGCAAAATAGTTTTTCTTTTACCTCTTTTTGATGGCGCGTTTGTTTTACACTTATCAGTTGAGTCAACCCAATCCTTTTCCGGGGTATCATAAGTGTCGAACCACGTTTCATCCAAGTAAATAATTGGCCTTTGTTGTTCTCTGTACATCCTATTTGTTTCTAGATATTCCACTCGCCATTTCCAAATTCTAAAAGATTCCATTAAAACTTGCCTTTTGTCAATTTTTTTAAATCTAAAACCCATGTGTTGAATACACTTCCATATGGTAGTTTTGCCACATTTAACACCGGTTTCATCTTTTTCAAGCCCCCTAATTAAGATATCTAATGTAGACACGCTTTCTTCCTCGTATAACTGGTAAATTTTACACGCTGTATTATATCTTGATTACTTCCATCTACACTCGAGAAAATGTCAGCATCATTTCTTGCTTGCTTGCTGGCACCAAGTTTAATCAGAGTCAAATAAACTTTGTTTATAACTTCCTTAGTCTCAATAAAATAGTGTTTTCGACATTTGGGCGGGAGCATCTCCTGAGATACACTATATTTTACACATACACATATTTTGCATAATTCGCACACGATTCAACACACGCTGTATTATACACGAAACAAGAATGATTACGAATAAACTTAAACTAAGTAGTATACCAAACCAAAGAATATTAAACACAGGTAGGTATAAAATTATTTTCTATTACGGACCACAATTTTACTTGAATTTAAATTCCGAAACTTTAGGTAATAATCTTGTTGCATTGTACAATGCAACAAATGACCACCCTTGGATAATCCCATTCAAAAGCAATTGGTCACTTTCCTATATCTATGAATAGACCATACTACCGACGCTTACTGTCGACTCTCGTTAGATTGGAGCTCTCTGGTTTGCGGAGGGGGCATCTTCGTCAAATCGTGGCGGATCATAAATTAGAACCAAGAGCCTAAGGCAGAAAACGATATTTTCTACAGGATGTTGTTGAACTCACTTCCCAATATCTTAATAACTTAATCACAGGCTCCATGGACAAATTTGATTTGATTGATGGCGCCACCTCCGCACAACTTTGTCATTCTGTGATTTGATTTTTTAAGCATTTTTAGTTTACTACATAAGTTGTCCCTTGATTTTCTTTCTATCGTGTCACGTGTGACACTCTGTATGTGTGTCATTGTGTATATATTAAGCTCTCTCTATGAATAAACTAAAAGCTCATTCATACACATTAATCCAATTTTTTATGTTTTTGTTTTCTCCTATAGCAACTAGATAATAGTAGCTATGAGGGTGTATGATTAACTACTCCAGTCTTAAATAGCATCGCAAGATGAGATTTCTAGAAGATTGTTATGCCATAACTACATAAACCATCTCATAAATGGCGAAGTACCTACTATATTTGACTTATTTGTAACAATTGTGAGTACTTAATAAATGTTGCAAATATAATTAATAAAATTGAATTATAAATTAATCAACATTAATAATAACAGAATACTTAAATAAATAGGTATAGGGAAACCTCTTTGCGCAAAAAGGAAAGATAACTTTAAAGTTTATTAAGTTTGTAAAACTAAGGAATCCTGTGTGAGATAATTTTGTAGATGTGCTGAATTCTCCCTATAACTTGATGTTTCCTTAAAATACGAACAACTATGACTACATACAAATATATATAAAAAGTTTTTATTAAAATCAATTTTTTTTAGAGTCGCTCTTATGTACCAGGTATCCCATTTTGGACACTTTTATGGGGTATCCAGTTATTTTTTAAGATAGAAAGTTGCAGTTTACGCGGCACTGCGCTACTTCTTTGTGAAATTAAAGATGACATCAACAAAATTATCGCGGCCCTCTTGGTTTTTAAGATACAGGGTGATATCCAAAACTATCGATTTTAGGACCACCCTCATATCTCTGTTATCTTTTAAGTTATTGGAGAGTTTAAAAAAAACTTCTTATAGGATCTTTTCCGTTGAATCCAATGGCATAGTTTGTTAATTTACTTACTCTAACTGTTTATTAGTTATGAAGCAAACATATATTTTTTAAATGGAACACGCTGTATATTATTTTTTACATTAATTGAAAATCATTTAAGCTTTTCAGAAACATACATTAGTATAAAGTTGTTTTGAAAATTAAGCTCTTTTTTTTTCTCACATTTTCTTTTATTTGTAGTAGTAAGCCAAGATGATGTAATAATTTTCAACTTATTAAAGTCCATTATTGCATTAATTAATACAAAATAACATTATATTATAAAGAATATTAAGATATTAATATTATATCTAGAACTCAGGTTCAAATGGGATACCATTTTCTCAAATGCAAAACTCACATATTTTTCTTATTTTTTAAATGGCATTTAAAAGAATTATTAGTCTTCTTCCTAGAGTTTTAAATGTTAAATCAATTGCCCCTCAAAGTTCTGCTACAGACTCGCATTGTGTTTTATATACTTTATTTTGCATATATTCCCATAAAAAGAAATCTAAAATTGAGAGATTCGGAGATCGTGGAGGCCATCTTGCAGATCTGTTGGTACCTATCCATTTTTGAGGGAAGTTGTCTTCTAAAAATGGTCTTTCTTGCTGAAGGTGTATATCACATTCCAGAGTGTCTAGGTACTTATGCGCCGTAAGACCTCCTTCATAAATTTGGTAAGCTATTCGTTGTACCAAAATAAAACACGATACCCCAATCCCAAACCGTCCTTGTTGGGCCCATTCAAAAATTAAATGGTGGTTTTCTGTCAATCAATTCCTATATCATGCTGATTAAAAATTTCCAAACTTGAGAAGTAACATTTGTCAGACCATTACAAATCTCACTGATACATGTTTGTTGCAAATACCAGTGGCAAAACTGCATCCGACACTCTTACACCACCAGGATGTAAACTCTTAAACTTGTATGGATTGTTTTTTTTTTTGATTCTTTGGGCAGTCAATTTTGGTACCCCTACTGCTTGTTCTATGTGTTTGCAAGATGATGACAGTGTTGCTTCTATGTAACCTAATGCATTTGTTTCTCTTTACTCCCTATTCTTCTTCAAATAATTTTTAAGACGTTGAATAAATGGTACCTAACTAGATTTATTTTCAGAGAAGCAAATATCTAATATAAACAAAACACATTTCTGTAATATAAAAATTATACTGACTATATTCCTACAAAAACCTTACCTGTGGTAATATAATTCCAAAGCTTCTTGGGCATTTTCATTGCATTATTATAGAAAATTAATTAAAATAAAACTTACAGTCTCCTAAGTGTCTGAGGCATTTTCTGTTTTGTTTTTAATAGTTGAGTTATAGCCAATAACATAATATTTACCATATTAATAAGGCATTATTAGTTTTCAAAAATATATTTTCCTCCTGTTTTTTTTTAAACAACTTTATACTAATATATTTCTTGAAAAACTTAAATGATTTCCAATTAATGTAAAAAATTGTATATAGGATGTTCCATTTAAAAAATATATGTTTGCTTCATAACTAATGCCACTGGATTCTTCAGAAAAAATCCTATACGAACTCTTTTTAAACTCTTCAATAACTGAAAGACAACGGAAATATGGGGGAGGTTTTGGATTTCACTCTGTATCTCAAAAACAAAGAGGGCTCTGATAATTTTGTTGAGGGCATCTTTAATTTCACAAAAAAGTAGCACAGTACTGAGTAAACTGTGACTGTCTATCTTTAAAACCAAAACCCTGAAAAAGTGTCCAAAATGGGATACCCTGTACACCTATGACTAAAAATATTTTTAATTTTTATTTAATTAAAAAAACATCTATATTTATTTTTTATTATTTTTATCTATTGATCTTATGGAAAATTTATTAGAACTTTACAAAGTTGTTATAAGAGAGGCAAGGTACTTTGCCACCCTATGCAACATATAACAAAATTTAAAGTGTCAAGAAACTTGTGCAAAAAAGATTTCGCCTATTCTTATCTAATTGTCATTAGCAGTAACTTCAACATACCTCCAGATCTGGTCCAGGATGCACATTTCTCACTTTCCTCATTTGCTCAAAATACTTTCTACACAAATCATCACTGCGCCTCCTCCGTTCCTTCTCTTTTTCAAACCTTTTCCTCCAAGATTCTTCCCTCTGGGCAACCAATTCAGCACAATGATCCAGGGTATCAATAACAGCAGCTGTTGTGGTCTTAAAAGTTATCGATTCACCTTTGAAATCAATGATTGGCAAATTTTCTAAAACAAAGCTTTTGGATTAATAGGCACACATGCCTTCCTTTTCAATAACCTCTATGGGACATGTCTCCTTTTTGTTCATTTTCAACACAGTAGTCAAAGTATTTCTGCAATGTATCTACTTGTTGGCAAAGTATTTCCTTGAAAGTTTCAAGTTCAGCGAGTTTTTCCCTCAAGTTTCTCGAGCTTTTCTTAAAACTACTACTGGAGGCTGTACTTTGATTGTTTGATTGTAAACTAACTGTCGAACCGTGTCTTTTCAGGCTGGTCTCAGAGCCAGTACCGTAACCAGATTCAACCTTCAATACAAATAAATTGATTAAAGTTAGTTTATGCTCCAACCAATAGCAAGAACTTACTCTATAGGCTTCCAAAGCATCTACCCAAGTTTGCTTACTTTGAACCGATTCTGCCCTCAAATACCAAACACAATCATTAACCGATATATCAAATCTGCACTCATCAAATTCATGTGGCTAAAAGAAAGGAAATTCCTAGATTGACAGCGAAAAATTATGAAAACAAAACTTCAACATAAAAACAATCGACTAATGAAACAAAACAAATGACAAACCTACCTTGATAACAGCTTTAGCAAGCGATAAGGCACCTCTGCATCCGTAACCCCGTTCATGTTCACTCTTGTAATACGACAAAGTACCATTTTTCAACACGATATACCGATCCTGCCAGCCATGTATGTAATTAGTCCATTTGCTTAATACACCAGCAAACTCGTTTTGATTTTCGATATCAGAATCGTCGCTGCTATGAGCGTCCGCCATATTTCCGACGTAAAAATACTCAACTCATGGTTTAACTGTTTAAAAAACGGAGGCTTAAATACTTATACTAACCCGTATTCAGGTACTTAAAAGCATTTTATTGCATGCAATTGGAATTTACAATGTATAGCTTATTTGTTTACTGTTTTGCCAAAACTTCTTTCTGTTATATACCACAGATTAGACCAAGTAATTCACGTTGGTCTGCGCTTTATATTCGTCACCTGTCTGTCTAGTGTAGTCTTCTTAAAGGTTTTTTTTTTTATTGTTTAGTTTTTCGTAACAGTATTTGAAAGACGCGTCATAAAAATTATCGTCTAAAATTACCATTTCTGGAAAAAAAGTAGAGGAACAAAGCAGGAAACAAACTACTCCTTCCTAATATTAGAATTTATCTACTGATCACAGATGTGGACAGCACTCATGATACAAGATTTGACAGATCGCCGTTTTAAATTCGTCCGGCGCACAGTGGGCTTCGGAATAACAATTTTACTCGATAAGATAAATAATATTGTTTAAAATAAACAAAAAATGCACTAGTATAAGACACAAACTCAATTTGGTATGAAATGAAACACCATCAAAAAATTATACAGGGTGGAGGAAAAGACTAGAAGGCTTATTTATTATTTGCATGTATGAGTATTTTAGGAATGAGCATTAAAACATCTGGCCTAAGAATTTGCGAAAAAGAGTAGGACCATAGAAAATAAATGTTCGTTATCGCTGGTGACATACAATTCTGATTGTTTGATTTTAATTTTTTACAGTAGAAAATAAGCCACAAAAATTAATTAAACTCTATTAAGCAAATAAAATAATGATTAACAAAAAAAATAGTTTAAATTAATAAGTACGATAATTATTAACAATACTATTATTCTTAGGAATCGGATGGTTCACTTTTTGCCTATGTTGGACTATCGTCCTTAAGCAGATGCAAAGCTTCAGAAAAAAAAAAGTTTATTTTTCTTGGTTGGTATCAATTCTGGACCTTTTCTGGAAAAATGCTCTCTGTAGTACTTAAGATCTTTGTTACGTTGTTACGTGAAGTTTCTTCCGCATATTCCCGAAATTGATTTTCGTTTATCGCAAAACCTGATGACGTGACTTGTAATATACAAGAGTAATGTCTGATGCCTTCTTCGTCTAGTTCTAATATCTTGTTGCCATCACTACTTGTTCCACTTCCACCTGCTTAGTATTGGTATTGGTATTAAAGGGGGGCGCCTCAGGGCCCGTTGTGCCCCCAGACCGCGCTAGAGTGCGTCCAGAATGCCAGCCCTCCTATAGAAGGAAGGCAACTCCTTTAGCCCAATACCGTACACTGAGCCCGGATCGATCAGGGCCGTTCCGAAGACTTCAAAACTTGCCCATGTCAAAGCAGGGCACACGGTGAGCAGATGATACGGGGTCCCTCCCCCTTCCATGCACCACCTGCACTCCGGGTCGTCTAAAATGCCAAGCAAGCAAAGATGACTCCTAAGCCTGCAATGTCCTGTATAGGCCCCTGTTAGTGCTCTACACTCCCTTCTGGTCAGTCTAAGCAGCTCCCTGGTCCGAGGAAGGGCGGGCCCATCCATCATAAGCCTCGCCTTCCTCATTCCCAGAGCAACTCTCCAGACCACCGCGGCCCGTTCCGTCACCCAGGCTTTGCGAGCTCCCGCACGGGGCGATCCCCAAGTGGCTAAGGCGTCAGCTGCCTCATTGCCCCGGATCCCGGTGTGAACCGGCACCCAGACCAACGTGACATTCCTCGCCTCGGCCACTTTCCTCAGTACCCCTTTGCACTCCTTTATCAACAAGGAGCACGTGCGCACTGAGTTCAGCGTCGTAAATGCAGCCCTACTATCAGAGCAGAAGAATACGCTCCTGCTTCCGTGGTTGAGCCGAAGCACCTCTCTGCCCGCCATCAATATAGCGAAAATTTCCGCCTGAAACACAGTGCAGTACTGACCCAGAGGGACCGACAAGCTAGAATCCCGTTGTCTCGCAGTACGCTGCGGTCAAATCTTCCATTCTGGACCCGTCCGTGTACCAGACAAGTCCATCCCAGGAGCCAACTCTGCCCTCTCTCCACTCTTCCCTTGATGGGAAGAGAAAGGTCCATTTGTCAAAGAAGGTCATCTTGGGGATCATAACGTCAATCGGCATGCCCATGACACCGCGTCCCCGGACCAGCCCCCTAATATGTCATACGGGCATCGATTGAAGGTTCCCTCTTACCAGAGCCCGCCGCTCGCTAGCCTGACAGCCGTCCTGGCCGCCTCCATCCGCACCCGTTCCGCCAGAGAGGGCAAACCCACCAGAGCCTCTAGGGCCCTCGTGGGTGCCGCCCTCATGGAAGGGGGACAAGACCCCACCCTGTAGACAGCCCCATGATGAGCCGATGGAGACCTGCTCCCCACTCAGTCTTGCCTCAAGTCTCCGGTCGGTTAGCATGGAGCAGATTCATTTTACAATGACCGTCCCCACTCCATACAGGGCCGTATTATTGAAGGCCCCTTCGATGTCAGCGAATACGCACATCGACAGCCGTCCTGAGCCTATACCCTCCTCCAACCTGGAAGTCAGATGGTGAAGAGATACTGGTGCACAAGTCTCTCCAGAGTTTTCATAATGAAGCTGGTGAGGCAAACTGACTGGTATAACTTCGGGTCTGTGTAGTCGTTCTTCCCTACCTTGGGGATGAACACTATCCTGCTGTGTCTCCACAGCTCGTTCACATATTCACCTGCTTTTACTTTACAAACCTATTTCGGTTCTAAATTTAAGCTGAATATTTTTCTTTCTCTCTTTTACACTGTCCTTTTCCTCCTGCGCCCTAGCCTGTCATTTTTTGATATCTTGTCTGTATTTTTTTGTATTTTAGGTGTTGCTTCACAGATGTGGCAGGCTTGGCTTGAAGATGTCTCTATCATAACACTACAGATCTTACCGTCAATCATCGTCATTTTCATTTGGTGTATGATGGATAAAAATTGACCTGTAGGTTTTAGTGCATCAATTTCTTTTTTTTTACAGAAACTGCTTCTTGTAATGTGAAAGTAGTAGTTTCTTTCTGAAAAAAAAAAGTGAAATTGCCTACAATACCTCGTTAACGATGGTCTAGGGTTCTGCCAATAAAATATTTTTTTAGTCGGATCGATTTTTGGGTAAGAAAATATTTGAATCCGAAGCATTTTCAGTTTCAATAAACTGCTTGCCTTCACTGTGATCTTTGCTACCGTCACACCCCCATTTTGTGATTAAAATTAAGTCAAGATGTCCAGATATATTTTCGAAAACTTCTGATTGAGATAAAATAATTCGGGAAACAGTATGGTCCAAAAGCCCTTGTAACTTAATATTTGCAGATAACTCCGTTATCAAAATGTTATCAGGAGATGGATAACAGCATAATTTTGAATGCAATTTTTTTTGTATGAAGGATAAACATGAAAGTTTCTTTTCCTTCTCTTCTGATAGTTAAATAGTCACTTTTTGATAACTTAGTCTCAATTATCAAGCTAAGTGCTTCTTCACTTGTGTATGGTATAATTTTATATAATATATTATTTTTGAGGCTCTAGTAGAAGAGGTTTCGATACTTTCTTTAAGCAGTTTGACTTCATCTCTTTTTCCGTCTTTTTTTACACTTAGCTTTCTCGCCCCAATAACTGATTTTGCTTGCAACTTGTTGCTAATTCCTTAATTTTTCTTCTTCTTCTTCACTACTCCAGGAAAATTACTTTTCGGGTGTTCCCAGCGAGTTTGTTGGCGTTTGCATGTCATCCATTTGCGGGAATAGTATTTAACCATTACTGTTTTGTCTTAAAAACCTATTCTTCGTATGATTACTTTTTTTTCACCTTTTGGATGGCTGGTCGCAAATTTCATTAATTTTTCTTTTGTAGGCTCTTCAAACTTGGGGCTTTTGATATTCATCATATTTAAGATCCCGCGGCATGCTTGCAGATTTTTATCTTTATGATTACCGTTTTTAACAATCGACATCTATTCTTTTATGATTCATGTTTTCACTTGCTCTGAATTACTCTCTAAAAAAAGAATTCAGTTAGCCAATGAAAAACGTAAGATTTTTTATTTATTTTGCTTATTGGGATATCTATTTCTAGTTTCAAGAACAGCTTTAATCTTGATTTTATTCAAAAAAGAGTTTTGCAGTTTTCAAAATATCTGTCTTTAATTTGCAAACGTCCTGCATATCTAAAAATGTTCAACCCTCAATAAAACAAGAAAATTTCGTTTGTATAATAGTTTTGAGTAGGTATATGTAAAAAAAAATCCATAACGTTATTTTTTATTATTTTTACTTTTTAAATACAACATACATCAAAAAATTAAAAATTTTGCCTGGAGACGAATTGGGCCAAAAGTTTTTGAAATATTTTTTTCTAGAGAGACTACTGATGTCTAGAACCGAATAGAGTTAAAACAAAAACGGAGAATGACAGAAAGCAATATTTTAATGTTAGAAAGTGTTTTTTTTTAAGAATACACCTACATAATACAGTAAATAAGCGCTGTGGCCACACACAAAATTAAATTTTAACAAAAAAGACGTTTTTAAATTTTACTTACCTTTCTGTAATTAATCCGTATAGTACACAAACTGTAGGCACAGTAACTACCTACTACAAAACAATACAATTTCTTTCAAGTTTCAAACACCTTGACATCAAACTTCTGACTGACAGCATACAGTGCAACTTTTGTTTATGCATTTATTTTTCAAGCCCTACTCGGATATTATAAATAGTTTATTTTAAATCAGTTATGACCAAAATTATGATTCGAGAATCCATTATGCGGCGCGCGCATTACCTCACGCGAAGTTAAAAATTTGAATTTGAGGCGGAGTACTGATGGGATATGATACTTGTTTACAGTGCAATTGCTAAAGTTTGTTAATTATAATTGTTTAGGGTAAAAAGCAAGTTTGATATATTTGTAGAAACCAAATATATCAAAAAATCGTTACGTTTTGCTTTATAAAATGTATTATAAGATTTATAAGTTAATGTAAACATATCAAACTAAGATTTTTGGAGTAAGTGTTATATTATAATAATCATTTTCATTAATTTTATTAATTAATTAATTATTATTAATGATTAATAAAAAATCTAGGTACTTTTAAGAGGATCTGTGAATGTTAAGAAAATTGGTTGTTTTAAAATTTGTGTTTTAAAATAATTGTAGTATAAATCACTGTATTTTTCTGTAATAGTCTATAGATTAACTATAAATGAACAGTTCGAAAGGGGAATAAAATGAGAATTATGACAAGAGTCTTAAAAGTTAGTAAGACATTTTTTTGCTATGATATGGGTTTATGGGCTAAAATGAGTGTTAGTAGTTTTTGAAAAGCGGAAAGGAAGGTGTTTGCAATATACCATGATATACAACAAACATGTATCATGGTTACTACTACGTTACGTTAATTGGGTCTGGTCGTTTGCAAGCTATCAGAATGGTTTCGTCATTAGGGAACTGAAACAGCATCAATCACTCGAAAAATATTTTCTATTGCCGCCTGCCACAGAACACCACATTTTGATAAAAAATAATTAATCCAAACTACAAAAAAGCACTGAAATTCTACAAAGACCGAAAAAACACAACACAATGAGATTTGGTTAAGAATCCCGCCAAATCAAACTCCGCGTCAGTGACGTGACCCGTTCGCTCCGCCTGTGTGCGCGATGTTCTATCCTCGGCAGCACTATTATACCCTTAGCTAAGGTCCCATACTCATGTATACTAAATTTGCAAAGTTTCGACTCATAAACGATAACTAATCTCCTTTAAGTTACAAGCGATTTTGCAAGAACGCTAGACACAGGTCGAGCGACTTCGACCACCACATGACTTAATACAGGGTGCTCCGTAGTGAATGCGCGTTGATTAAACCACTGAAAATGATATTGCGCTCAATATAGCTTAATAAAAAGGTATTCTACAATTATTTCTATAAACACACACTGTTTTTGAAATATTTATTAAGAACGTTTTGATTTTTAATTTTGAAGTCAGGTTTTGTATCTTGATTATCATGTATTGTTAGACCTCCTAGTTTATTAATATTTTTTTACGTCAGATCTATTGCTAACCTCTCTATTATTTTTATTACGCTTCTCTCGAATGCAAAAATTCCATTTGCATCCGTGTTACTTCATCGTTGGTAGTATTTTTCAGATTTTTTATAAGAAACATTGTCTTGGATAATATTTTGGCAGTCATGAGCTTAAAATGAACGTTTGGAATCAGAGTAAACTCCCAAGAACGTTATATGCTCTATATTAATTTTATTGTTTCAGACTAATAACCTTTTTTTGTCTTTGATGTACTAACTGGGAGTCTGATTAGACTTTGGCCTACAGACCAAAAGAGATTCGCAACATTTTTTATACAACAAAAATTCAAAACAAGTCAAATTTTATCTGATTGAATGTATAAATGTATTATTGTTTGATGATTTTAAGTTCATATATAAATATTAGCTTATTGTTCAGTAATCTAAAGACATCATTTGGTACTGAAATGAAACGCCAAAATTAAAGAGCATTCAATAATTTTTGAAAACATAAAATAAATTAAATCTGGCAATGCTAATGACAATGTTTACAAAATGATAAAAACTGCTTGGAAAGTTGTGAAAATCTTAAATTTGGGATTCCCACTTTAAGTTATCTTTTTTTTTTCATCAGCCACTGTGGTATCTGAGGTTTGGAATGAACTTTTGTCATGGTTCGGCTAAGGGCTCTGGGCTGACTGCCGTTTGAACTGTTTGATTCAGGTTCCCTCTCTTGAGACTCTTTTGATAACGAATCTGATACCTGAAACGGACAATCTCTGGGTGGTGAGTTAAGAATGTTCAATAACTCATTGGTATCCGTGCATTTGTATTTTTTCTCGGGAGGCTCCGAAGAAGACTTAGGAGTATGATTTTGTAGTTCATTTTCAATATTGTAGCATGCGGCTAACAGAACATCATTGGAATTTTCCGGTGTGCCAGTTAAATCGATCGTGCTGCCATCTAGTTTGTTTTCCATGTCGTAACATGCCGCTAAGAGTATGTCATCATCTAAATTTAAATCGTCCGGCTTCATGGAATTATCGGGGGACGGGGTAGCAGTAAAGTACCGAAAATCATCAAACTCCTCATAAGGTATTTTCAGTTTCTCCAAGTGGTCCCGAATCTTCAAATAAGTAACCACAACTCTAATTTGGTCATATTTAACGTTTTCCGGACACGCGCTTTTGATTTGAAGCAACGAAGAGAAGCCGGAATCCAAGTTATTGATAGTCTCGACTATTATATCTCTCACGTCGTTCGTAACTCCGAGCTGACTCATTTTAATGGGCCACCCGATCTCCATGGCAGCCACCAGGTTCAGCATCACCGTACTGGGGGAAATTTTTCTTTTCTCTGCAATTTCTTCAATCGTCAGACCGCTGTTAAACAAAGACATGGTAAAAGTGATAGCGCTCGACTCTGAAATATTTTCTAAAGGATGTTCTGCAAGTATAGACAATATAGATCTCCTATCGTTCGAGGCATTAACCTGGGTTATTTTCAGCAAGTCCGGGCCAAACTTCAAAAGCTTCGCTTCAGTAAACCCTTCAACCTGTAATTTGCGCAACTGTTCCAAATCTTTCGGTTTGTGCTTGGCTATTTGCATGAGGGCGGCATTAGAAGCCACAGTGTAAGGCATGACGTCGTTTATCGAAGCGAGTCGATTCCTTTCATTGATTAACAGCCGATAACATTTTAGTCGCTCATCTGTTTCCATTTTGGATTCTTCTGGAGGGTTATCTAATACTTGAGTTGATGATGATGCTTCTTCACCACCTTCCGCAGACACCCAACCTGATTCTGCCTGCCTGCTTTTTTTGAGCAACGGTATCAACTCTTTTGAGGGAGGCGCCATGAGTTTCTCGCCTCTGCTTACGCTTTCGAGAAATGTATTACCAACCGATGTAACTTGGTAAGTGCACGCCCCAAATAGTGAAGATTGAGTTCTTCCAAACAGAAAGTTCCTTTGGATCAGTATGGCAGCTATGCCCTTCCACCAGGAGTCCGGCTTGTCGGCACCTAAAATGTACCGGAACAAGTTGAACGAGAATGTAAATATTAAGGTGAGCCTAGATCACAAATACAAACAACAAAATGAAACATATCACTATTGCAATGAAACCCAAATTCTTAAAACAATTTATATATATATAAATATGTTCTATGATTATAACGGTATAAAAGGCACATTTAAGGTAGAGCCTACCACTACGTGATCGAATTCGTGTAAATGGGTCGCTAATACTGTTAAACTCATGCGTCTCAGACAGCTATGACACTTTGGTACAGAAGGAAATGATATTCCGCGCATGCCTCTAAATTTTGCATACTAAGTTGTACTTTGCAAAGCACTACCACTACTGAATTGATCAGTCATGTTGATTGTTGTTGTTCCTAAGTGCTTGGACGCCCGCGAGGGCGCCCCCCTTTAATACCAATACCAGTACCAATAATACCATGTTGATTGTTTAAAGTCGCAAAACCTTATAGGTTGGTTTGAAGGCAACTTTTCAAATAACTCGCGCATGAGCATAATGAATGTCCCATCTAAACCAGTCTCCAATCATTCTTTAAAGGGAAAAGGGTGCTCTTGATTGTTTTTAAATGATTGTTATTTGTTAAGCTTTGGATTTTTTTTTCTTCTTATAGCTTGCATTCTTCTTGGATTTTGTTTTGTTTTTTGTTAAGGATGTATAATGTTTATAGAAATGTCCTTCTTTTAATACTAATCATAAATAGAGGTGATTCTGTTTTAACTGCGATTTTTTATGAGTTGTGTGGTTTGTTCTCACTGGTGAGTTATTAATAATCTAATAATAAAATATTTCATCATATTTTTTATATAAGATAATTGTCATTCAGAGAGATCCTACAATGTATCAGCTAGATGTCAGTACCGTGTCATGTCCAGTTAGAAAAATTATCTATAAATTCTTTTTTTTTGTATCAATAAATGATTTAATCTAATTAACTCATAAATTCTTATTTCCTTGATCAAACTAAAAAAAAGACACTTTCATAACTTTTGTCTTTAAAATTTCTCAAATTTTTGAATTTGAATTTATATGATTCGATCGCCAGATACCTCGAGATTTATGAAACGTCTAATGAATCCTGTTGGAATTTAGTCATCTAAGGACTGTTTACAAACATGGAGCTGATGAAATAATGCAAAGAAATATGCTTATAGGACTCAAAGTTATTTTTACAGTAAAATAGATGAATAATATGCATAAAAAACTAGTTTTAAAAACTTAGAAACATTAAGTAAAAAAATAACAGTTAGAACGGAATCACCCATATACCCAAAAACATTGCCTCCCTGTTTTTAAATCGTTTCTTCTTCGAAGTGAATAAAAATAATGATTGTAATTAATTTCTGTTCATTCACAGTTATTCAAAGATTTTCTATTTAAACCCTTTAAAAATTAGACATAAACAAAACAAATTAGTTTCAGTTAAGATATAGGATATATTGCATGTTTTTTCAGACACGGATCACTTTTGAATCGTCCGAAAATAGTACTAATTATTGAATAAAGTCCTTAGCTAGATCTACGCAGTTCGAGGATATTACAAACTCGAACAAAAGTAATATTCAACTCCACCAAAAATGACTGATAATTAATCCTGCATTTTCGATATTTGACCTTAGGCTTTTCTATTGCAGCAATTAAGTCATTACTGCAAACTTGCTATGGTAAATTTTTATTGTCACTGAGTTCAATAATGCAAACACTTTTTTGTAAAAAATGTATGAATATATATTTTAACGAATATTGCTCACGATTTACTTTTTCATGGAGAATTGTGTTTTTGGAAGAAATATCTCTGCAACTACTTTAACTACTTAACTTATAATATTAATAAATTTAACCAGCTTTATACAAAGTGACCCAAACATGTGAAATGAAAAAATACACTTTTTTTTTTTCATCGATTCCTAAAATTAAATGCCATTAGTCGGTCCCTCGATAAGTATCTATATGCTATAGTTTTCAAGATATTTACTTGTTTTTCTTAATAAATTGTTCAAAAGAATAACGAACAACTTAAATAAAAAATACTGTTTGAATCTGTTATTAAGCGGTTTGTTGTTACTTAAAGTGGGCCCTGTAAACACAGACCATGTTGATCACAATGAATGAATCTCTAAAAAAATTTATATTTATAATTGTTGTAACACTGTTGCCTTATGGATGTGTATACAATTTGACACATATCAATAACACTATTTTTGAATGACAGAAACAAAAAAACGTTGAACATTCCATTAAAAAAAAATGAAATGCAATGTTTAGAAATTTCATTTGTCTTACATACTTGGAAAATTCGGCATAGAGTCGACAGTTTTTATTAATGTCAAGGGTTGCATGTACCAGGTACATCCAGTCGTTGGAAATCCTGTACAATCATTTCACAGTTACTGAATAATAAATGATAATTACATGAATTGGGACATTTTTTTATCTCATTCCAAAATAATTTAAACCTTTGCATTTACATTTTCTCAACAATGGATAAAGTTTCTCAAATTATCTTTTATTATTTAATTTGTATAGTCTTATAAACTCAATTTTATTTTTGTTGAAAAAACAATGTTTTGGTGGTTTTATATCATGACAACATTAATTGCAGTTGTAGTTTATATTTAAATTATTTAAATTTCTGATCATTCCAAATCTGGTTAAAATCTAGAAAAATACAGTTAATTGTGGAACATTATAGTATTATTATTATTATTATTATTATTATTATTACCTTTTCCAAATCCTTCTTTCAATCTAAAACATTCAAGTTTTGCAGTCTTAGAACCTCTGATAAATAACACACACAAATTTAAACCAAAACGGCCACCAGTAGAGTTTACTGCTGTCAAAAATAAAACTGCATCATCAGTGAAGTCATACAATCCTTGTTTATTCAAACCTTCATACAATGCACTTTCGCAGGAAGATTTCTGTTTTCTGTCGCAATTATCACAACAATTATCTCGATCAGGTAGCTCCAAACTAGGATCATTTTCAAAATGAGACAAAATAAACTGCCTGCGACATTTGCTTGTTTCCAGATACTGTCTCATAATGTTTGCCATTTTTTCTTTCCGAGACTTGGTGATTGCATCACCACTCTTTGAGCGTAAAAGAGCAAGAATATTAAAGTCTTTGTTGTTGTAAAATGTCACACATTTGGCTGGTAAGCCATCACGACCTGCTCTGCCCACTTCTTGGTAGTATGATTCCACAGAATTTGAACTTCCGTAGTGAATTATGCATCTCACATCATGTTTGTCTATGCCCATTCCAAAAGCTACTGTGGCTACTATTACTTGAGTTTTATCTTTGATGAATTCTTCATGCACCCTAGAACGTTCAGATAGGGTCATGCCTGCATGATATGGAAGACATTTAATATCATGGGATTGCAAAAGCTCACTTATAGTTTCAGTGTCTTTCCTTGTTATACAATAAATTATGGTTGGCCCATGAAATCTCCACAAACCTCTCTTCCGGACCATAAGTTTAGTCAGATCAGCAAATGCATTACCACTTTGATAGTTTACAGCAAAATAGAGGTTTGGCCGGTCAAAGCCTGAACATGAGATCTGTGGGTTTCGCAATTTCAGAACACTTATTATATCAGTCTTGACTTGTGGAGTAGCAGTTGCTGTAACAGCCAAAATTGGGACTTCAGGCATGATCTCCCTCAACAAACCCAATTTTCTATAGGCAAAACGGAAATCATGACCCCATGTACTCACACAATGAGCCTCATCAACAGCAATTAGAATTATATTTAGCTTCTTATGAAAGTCACACAAGAGCTGTTTCCCATAACCATTTGTGCAAAATTCTGGGGTCAAATAAACCACTCTGTACTTGTTATCGAATATGCCATTAATTACTTCCATTTGATTTGTTTGTGCAGAACCAAGTAAACAAGCTGAAATGTTCGACACTTTTAGGCTCATGACCTGGTCTTCCATCAAAGAAATCAATGGTGAAACGACTAAAGTGACGCCCCCATTATAGACCGCAGGAAATTGATAACACAAAGACTTTCCATATCCTGTTGCCATGATAGCACAATTATCCCGTTGGAAGCGCAAAATTGAGCTAATAATTCGCCACTGTATTATCCTAAACTTTTTGTGACCAAAATATTCAGATAGCACTTTTAGGTGAGTTTCCGAAGGCGGATCTTGACCTGTATTATTTGTTTGCAATAAGCCATTATGAGGTACTGCGTTCAACATAGAGTTTTCCAACTGAGAAGCAAAACTACCAAGAAGTTCATCCTCAGTATCAGATAAATCCATTTTTCAGATTTTCCTACTTATTCACTTACATCGCACTTTTTAAACATGTGAATGATACATAAATAATTATTAATTATTAGTATTTTACGATTAATGTAAAACGAATTTTTGAAAATTGTTTACAAAAAAAATCTTACTGGCAATAACCTCATCTTAGCCATAGATAAATTCTTCTTCTAACGTTTCAACAAGTAACAAAACGATTGACCAATACGACCCACTTCACAGAAGCTGTTTTAGTTTATCTAGATCATTGGGATGTTTTCTCATGTCTTCTCATGTTTCCTAAGCCCCTAAGAAAACTAAAAAACTAATCAACTTCGCACATCTGTAATTCCTTGACCTAAGATGACCGACTACATTTGCGAGTTGGGTACTAGGGAGATCACCACCACAAGCTATAAATTATGAAAATAAAAGAGCAAAATCATGTAGGGACATGTGCTTTTATTTGGCATTTTATATATAAATATATTTTAATATATATATTTTAAGAAGCAAAGGTCATTTTAGAAATCTGTTGGAAATATTTCAAACCATGGACTAAATACCACTAAAAAAATACACCGACAACCGACAATGTTCCCAACCTACTATTCTTGGAATTCCATTAATAGTATATTATGCAACAAGTGCGGTAAACGGCATTTGACTCTGAGTTTATTTGACACGAGCGGAGCGAGTTTTTAATAAACGAGTGGGTTAAAAAGTTTACCGAACGTGTTGCATACTATACTTTTTTTACGACCCTTAGTTTTTGGGTCCATTTTCGCAAAACAACACGAATACATTCTGACATGACCGTCAGAATTGACCTACGTCAAAATTCAAAGCGTGGGAAATATCTCCGAAAACATCCGTGCGGTAAAATTCCGGAAATGTTCGAAGTGGCTCGGATTCATCGGAAACGAAACTGACTTGGTAAAGTGACACTTCCAGCAAGCTAGATCGGTGGGTAATTAGGTATTTTACAGAGGGGAGTAGAAAAAACTTATTCCATGGCCGACTCAATTTGAATCGTACCACGGAATCTCAGCCTTTAATTCGAATAGGAACATATCGAAATTATCCAATTTCTACTCCATGGTCCTAACCTAACCTACAAAATAAGTAGTACTTGTTATTCATCGTTATTTTTACCAATTCCTGGAAAATTTGCACTAGGGATCCGTCTTCGGGTTGCTAATTTCGAAAAGAAATAGTGAAAAATGACGTTAATTTTTTTCTTTTTAAATTTGTGCAGTTCCATCTTCAGAAGAACGTTCGCGAATTATTGCGCATATTGATAAAGAATTTGATTTTCCGTCGAGACGGAAGATGAGTTCGCAAATAGATTGCGATCGGTCGGTATGTAATTTCTGTAAGTCGTGCGAGAATTTATCACGTTGCGCCCGATGCAAAGTGACCTTTTACTGTTCCAAGGAACATCAAAAAAAAGACTGGAAAAAACACAAGCACACTTGTCGTGAGATAGTGGGATTAGGGAACTCTGTGGAAGCGAAATACGGCAATACGGTGCACAACAGAGCTTCAGCTCCTTTGCCTGTGGAGGGCAGCTCAGAAAGTGAAATCTTGTGTGCTGTAGATGAAACTTTAACAGATAATCACTGTGATGAAAAAAATTCAGTTGACAACAATTTAAAGTACAAATCTAGTATGGCTATCAAATATTTTCCTGAAATCTCTTTAACTAGTAGTGGTGCACTATTTGAACACCATATAGAAGATGATGTGTTGGAGGAGATGTGCAAAAATATTGTGCAAGATTTGAATTATTACGGGTTGTGCGTTCTAGATAACTTTTTGGGCTTTGAAATTGGTCAGAAGGTGCTGGCAGAGGTGTTGAAAATTAAAGGGATGGGTGCTTTAAGAGATGGCCAGTTGGTTTCTAGTAAGGGTAAAGCCAAAGAGGACTTAAAGACTATAAGGAGTGATCAAATTTGTTGGGTGCACGGAAAAGAAGAGTATTCAAAACACATTGGTTATCTAATTAATAAGGTGGACAAGTTAATAACAAGAGCAAATAAAATGGAAAATAATGGTAAACTGGGAAAGTACAACATTAATAATCGTACCAAGGTAATGTTTGAACTGCTTATTATTATTATTAAGTTTATCTTCTCTGTGATTGATAGTATCTATTTGAGTTTAATTATTTATACAGGAAATTAATTTTCTTGTTTAAATAGAAAAACATTTAGTGTTCATTTCAAAAAATATTTATTGCAATTGCATTACAGTAATTAATACTATACACAGAAAACAAATCAAATTTTCAGCCAATATCTACTGTAAAGTGCAAAAATAATATTTTAAATGAGAAGTTATTTGCAATGGAATGTTGTTATATCAGATTATGTACTTAATAGATATCTATTAAACAATTCTAAAATTATTATCAGTCTCCTTCAAATGATTTATCGTAGCGCTGTGCACATGGGACTTGAGAAAAACAACCAAACCTACTTTTACTGTTAGTTGGAAAGTATATTTGCAAATTTTATTCTATTTATTTACAGGTTGGAACCTATTTCAAACTAAGTTATGCACAACAAAAACTTACAAAATATACTAATAAAAACAAATAACACCATGAAACAAAAAATCACATTGCACCCAGTTACATAAAATTTCACAAATTTATTTTTATTAAGAGGGGCCAAAAGTAAAGCAACTCTTTTTATTTGGTATAAAGTGAGAAGTCGCCATTATGCATCATTATTGGTTTTATCTTGTTTTTATAAATAAATTAAATAAGTAATATATATCTGTCACCTAATAGAATATTATGCAACGAGTTTGTTAAATGCAATGCAATGCAATTAAATGCAACTAACCAATCTCGACCGAGTTACATGCTTACAGAAAAAAAGGGAATTTCCAAGCAGTTGAACTGGGCCAATAGTGCTGATAGTGTGTCGAAAATCACTTCACATTATATATGTTTATATTTTATTGTAATACCCACAACGGTACAAGAATTACTGTATAAATGATGTATGTGTATGATTTTTATTTTGTCAAAATACAATTATCATAAATTTATGTTCTTTCGGATTAATTGACTCAAAACTCAAATTATTCATTGATTGAGGTTTTATTACTTTATACAGTTCTGAAATATGCTATATCTATGCCCTTTTTCTTAATGTGAGAGAGTTATAAATCATTATTGAACTGTAAAACTTTGTGATCTTAGAAGCATTCCATAGGTGTAGTATTGTACCTATGATGATTGTCAAGCATGCTGAGAATGAGGGACAAGTAGTTAACCTGCCTTTGCCTTAGTGTTTAAAATCAAAAAATGAGAAATTTATTATTTTCAATATACTCAAAGCTAATCGCTCTCAAAACTCATACAGTGTTGCAAAAATAGTTGAAGTTTGTTTGAATGTGACTCGAATTGGATAGTCAACAATATACCGACTTTTGCACTCTGCCTTATTAGTTCATTAAAGAGAAGTACAGGAAGAAAGAAACTAACAAATGAAGATGAAAAGACTGCCATCAGAAAAATAATACATTCGTTTTACCAAAATAATGTCTCAACTGAAAAAGGATGATTTCAATTCCACTTATGAGTAAGAAGAAATTGTGAAAAACTACGAAGGAAATGAATTTTTTTAGGAAATAACTGAAAACAGAAAATCACTTTTAATAGGGAAAGATGAAAAAAATTATGACCATAGATAATGCCAGCTACCACGAAAAACCGAAAAAATATACACATCTTCTTGAAAAAAAAAATCATTCATTGGTTTACTTTAAATAAGAAGCAATTTTAGAAAGATATACTAAAAAAGTTTATAGATTTAATAATTACAAACCTTCTTTATTCCTCCTGCGTCGGTTGGTGACGAATCGAACTTGTTGACGTTTCGCCAATCATCCTGTTGGCTTCTTCAGAGCTAAATTGAAACTGGCTCGCATTCTAATGTGTACCTGCTTATATATTGTTTGAAGAAAGCGGAGCGTTCCAGCACAACCTTCCAAAGACAATAAGCCCCAAAGCAACAGCACATTTGCCACTGTTGTCCTTCTTTACATTCAAAACATCACTGACCACATGTTAAAAGTTGTTAATAAATATAACGTCAAAACCACATTTACCAGTTTTCCAAAAATCTCTCAATATCTTCGATCCGTCAAAGACAATTCATTGGGCGGAAAATATCAACTAGGCTCAAGAAACTGAAAGAGCCTTAAGACTACGGCAAATAAACTCATCAGCAGTTGCCAAACACAATCACGAAATTGGACATCAAACTTTATTCGATAAAACTAAAGTTCCTGCATGTAATCAATTCTTCTGTCAACGAAGAATCTATAGAATTATATAAGCATTCAAACAATCTTAATCGCGACTCAGGTCTTTACCTTTCACCAATATAGGAATCAGTCATTCGAGACAATGTTCATGCCCCTCCTTTAGCTCCACCCCCTCAAACAATATATAAGCAGGTACAGAGTAGAATGCAAGCCAGTTTCAGTTTAGCTCTGAAGAAGCCAACAGGATGATTGGCGAGACCGCAGCAAGTTCGATTCAACAACAACCGACGCAGTAGTCTGTCTATCTGTCGAAGTTTCTTTGGGCGATTGCGATTTCTTATCTTGGCACCAGGCGACATAATCGCAAAAAAATATCAAAAAAATCAGTGAATGCAACCATATGGCTTTTTTATGTCAACTCAGTGAAAATCGCATGTCATGTCTTCATTGTAATATAAAATATCAATACAAGAGCTTAACGCTAAAAAAAATGTTTCTTTGAAAGATTAATTAATTGCTCACATTGGTAGCGAAAATGGATTTGTCAGTGGTGACTTGCTAGCATTTCAATCAAAACGGACTGAAGACTATTAAGATGGTGTTTTTGAAGATTATTTCCAGGAAAGGCTAGATTTTATTCCTCCTGGGTTTGTTATACTCATGGTTAATCCAGCTACCTCTCAAGAAAATCCTAAAAAAAACACGTCTGAAAAAAAATGACATTCATTGGGTTACTTTGAATAAGTAAGAATCAATTTCAGAAAACGTTGTAAATTTGAATAACAGTCTGTACGAAATGGCTTCAAAACGAAATAAAATAGTTCTTCGCATTCCGCTACTGTGAATTAAACCCCATAGAATTGGGATGGGCGCAAGTAAAAGGGTATGTAGCAGGGCATAACACCACTTTTAAAATAAGGAACTTTGAAACCCTCTTACAAGACAGTGGATGGTGAAAAATTGAATAAGTGCTTCAAACATGTGATTAAAATTAATAATTATTTCTCTGGACTCCAACCACTATGGTTATCTGTCTACGCGGAATATGATGACTAAAATTTACAAATGAAGTCTTATTTTAAGGAAGTCTTATTTTATTAAGTAGTAAATTTTTGTTAAATAATATTTATTAAAATGTATCTACTTTCATGTTATTCTTAATTTTATACAAGTTTTTATTTACTTGATCTTAGAATAATTAATGGTACCAACTATCGGCCAATCTCTATAATTATGAATAAAAATAATTCATCTGCAGTAACGCCGCCGTCACATTACTTTCATTCACCAAGCTCGTCTTTTTATTGTATGCCAATATTTTAAAAATTGAAATATAGAATTTTTGAAAAGCTCTTATAGGAATTTATCTCAACTTTACGATATAACCTTTAAGTTTTCCACCTGTCATTGAATATGTTTATTTTATTACTCTCTCGCATTAAGAAACCGAGTATAAGTAGGTCTATGGTTTTTGAAAAGTCTGGGTCTGCACCGCTGACATTTTAAGTTGCAAAGAAATTTTAAAATCTTGAGCTAGGGCTTAGGCAATCATCAAACAATTGATTTTTTAATTGTGGACAGACAGTCCATTATATAGAAAAGAAAAGGTGTCCAGGAATGTATAACTCGTTAATCAGTTAAAAAGAACAATAACAGATGTATGTGTTGATTGAAAAAATGGAATTTTATCGGGCGATATATCCTTGATTATAATTTAATTCATTGTTTGTACAAGGAAAGATAATGATATTTACTTAAGGCTTATTAATTGACAAAAAATATACCGACATGCTGAAGTTGTTTTCATAAACAAACACAAAGATTTTTAAATTTAAAGTATAATAAAAATTAATTTTAAACAGAAAAACAGTAGTGACGTTATGTACTTTTTTTTGTATTACCAAAAACGGCAAAATCAGAAACAAATCCGAAAATTGGAACCTGTGGTGGCATATGGATAGAATATCCAGTTTATAACCAAATGACTAAGGGGTAGTAAATAATGGTCCAACCAATCTCTAGGCTATGGTGGCTTGTTATCCGGGTTCGGGTACCCATTACGTTAAGCACGTAGACAACCCCAATAGGGACGGCAGATGCATAACTGCAATCTATTATCCCAACTTGAATTGGGACGTCAGACGATGCGGAGGGCTGTTGCGAATATTCCCTGAAGGGTGGAGGGAAGACAAGGTAAGCTTTTATCAATTGGTTTCACTTGAAATCTCGAATTATTATTTGGATATTTTGCATAGGTGGCAGATATCGAACCGTTGTTTGATCGGTTAATATTCTTCTGGTCAGATAGGAGAAACCCGCACGAGGTGCAGCCTGCCTTTGAGACCCGTTATGCCATCACATTATGGTACTTTGACGCGGCTGAGAGGGAGGAAGCGTTGAGAAGGTTTGAGGAAGCAAGTAAGATGATAATTATATTAAACCAATGTATAGCTTACTTGCTTGGCATGTGGATAGTTTTGAAAGCATAGATTGCACTCCTTGTGGTATATGCTTCCAAGACGGTTTTTCAACATATTAAAGCACTTCCTAACAAGCATTTTATTGGATAATTTTGGACTTACTTTAATTCCAATGGTAAAATAAAATAATAAAATCTCTGATTGACTGATTGCAAATAATCATAACAATCTGAAAAAAAGACAAACTAAGTTGTCTAGGTCGCATCGCATCACTTCAGTTTGTACTTTTCACTAGTACGGACCGTCGGTTAATTAAAGTACCATGGAAAAACACCGTATGGATGCCTGAAGTCGACAGTTTATAGAATTCTAATGCTGACCAAAATAACAAACTTGAGTCATTTGAATTACTTAGATTTCAGAACCGCAGAAATTGATAATTCAAAGGACATCTTTGCATTGTTCAGTCAAAATAATTGCAAGTAAAACTTTCTTCCATGTTTTTTTTTGTCTTCTCATAAAGCACTGTGTTGGCCAGCCAGCTGGAAGACCGCAAAGATTAATGAAATAGTGTGAGGTACTGAGGTTATATTGTTCTATGATAGAAATTTTGCTTTTCAAGTATTGATTTTTCAATATTTTTAAAGTTTGGACGGGTGGTAATAGGTGACATTTGTGTTTTTTCCTTACTAAAATATAATTAGGCAACAAAAGAATTAAAACTTCTTTTCCAACTTACACAAAAACAAAACCAAATGGCTTAAGTAATTTCTAACAACAGCCAACTGTATAGAAAAGAGAAAACTCTTTTGTTGCAACAATAAATCCTTATTGTGCCAATGCGACCTATAAATTTCTGAAAATTGAAGTATATTACAAAGAAAAAATGAAACACGTATCTGAATAATTGTTTGCATTCTTCTTGGAATTGCTAAAATGAAAAAGCAGATCCCAAACATGCTTAACGCAGGCCACTCCAAATCAGAAATATCCAGATCATGTAAATATTATTGAATAATTTTTACAGTGTGGGATCTGGCATTATCATGCGTTACAATAAAATTATTTCTAATAAAATAAACATAAGAGACAACAAAATCTTCCAGAATTTCTTCAATGTACCTGACGGCAAGTCAAGAACCCCTTCACACAATTCTGTGTGCTTCCAGAAAAATTCCAGCCCACATTATAGGTGAACTTCCAAAACGTTCTTGTTGGCTTCGTCATCAGAGAACAAAACGCATTTCTTACTTTATAAGATGATAAAGAGTCGGTTCTTTGTTGGGGGCCATTTTGAGGTCGTCTACTGCAACCTTGTTGTGCAACATATCGCTCGCTTCCTTCCGTTTTGTTAAGCACAAGACTTTGCCAAAGATATGTCAAATTTTTCATAACAAAAAAACTGACGACCAACCAGTTTTAAGTGCCAAATTTATGCAATTTTTTTCTCAAATAACCGATTGGTTGTTGTTAAAAATAACTGTATCTTTTTGTAAGTTTTTAGATTCATAAAATATTACAAAACAAAACAATCTTAAATTTGTGTTGTTCAACATATTCAACAGTGTCTCTTACTCTTGTTCTAGGGAGGGGACAATTAGAGAAATCGCCAACGCCATCTACCTGATTACATATATTTATGCAAATACCCTGATATATTAGAGCTGTAGAATAAGTTAAACGCGCCTGATTTATGAGTCTATTGTGATTTCGGTAGCTTTAGGACATATAAAGTCGTTAAACGGGAGCAATAAATTTAGTCAAAAGTATCTATTAAAATGAGTTCAAAAAAACGTGTTTTCTGTAATGTCGAACTCACTTTAGCTGAGTACCAAAATGCATAATTTTTAGCCTCCGTTTTTCAATAACAGACTTTTTATCTCTTACTGAGACCCCAATAGAAGCACCCACCTGATGCGTTATTAAATTATATTGACTTTTTTTTTATTATTGAAAGTAAATTTTTATTTAATTAATCGGTAGTATTTAATATAATTTGAGGTGATATTTTATGAAGGGTGCACGTTTGAAAACAAGCGTTACATATATATATATATATAAATATAAATCAGGCGCAAAGGTTGTACATACATTTCCTGTTTTTGTATCAAGCGACTTGTAAAATAGTGAAATTGTAAAATAGTAAGGATGCGATTCTTTATTGTTATTGTACTTATCTATTTTATACAATAGGCATTGTAAAAATTGTTTGAAGCGCCCCGGTTGCATCTCGTCCGTTTTGTGTTAATTTATCATATGTTGAATGATATCTGAATCGCCTAATACTTTTTTCCATTATTGTGTATGTTGTTATACTAACAGTTTTAATGAGCGCTGCGAAAAAAATATAGTTATTTTTCATATAAATAATAATTAATATATTTTGGACGGCCAAAGCCTTTTACTCAACCCATACTAAATCGTCATTGCTGCTCCGTTTCAACCACCTGGATGAAAGAGATAAAGGGTGAAAGTTTGTATTGACAACAGGGTGATCCAGATGTATCCCCTATTAAGTCAGGTCCCTTGGCATCCCTTGATGCATATCCAAAGGAAGTGGCAGCGTTTTTGATTTGGTTTTCGAAATATATTTACTGATAAAAAATAAATATATTTACTAAATGATACTGCCTATCTTTAAAGTTAAAAACTGCCATATATTCATGACACAATCACGGTATGCTTAGGTTTTTAAACATTCTTTGTGCAATTTATGCTTTAGTGTTGAAATGGTGTTAAAGAAAGTCCTGTAATAAAAATGATTAACATAATTGCAAGCGTAAAAAATTGTCAGTAAACACTTGCTTTACGAGGCCATTTTTAGGAGCTAAGAAAAAAATAAGAAATAAAGTTAGTTTATATATATATATATATATATATATATATATATATATATATATATATATATATATATATATATATATATATATATATATATATATATATATATATATATATATATATATATACAATGCATAGAATAATATATTATGCAACAAGTTTGGTAAACGGCATTTTAGTTCCGAGTTTTGTTTTGGCATGATTGGAGCTCAGCGGAACGAGTTCTTAATAAACGAGTGACTTAAAAGATTTGTCAAACGTGTTGCATTTTATACCTGTTCCATTAGTTATAGCAATAGCGCGAATATATTCACTGAGTGACATAACCCTCAGAATCGACAAACTTCAAAATTCAAGCAGTGCGTAATATCTCCGATTTTCGAAGTGCCTTGCAGCCGTAGGTCAACTGACATCGTAAAATGACACTTTCCGCCCGCTCGATTGGTGGATAATGGTGTATTTTAGAGAAGGAAGTAGAAAACCCTTTTTTTTAGTTAAAAATAATTACTCCCTTCTCTAAAATACCCAACTTATACGTGCGTGCGGAATGTGTCATTTTACGTCAGTTTTGTTACATTTCGTCGTTATATATCAAAATTTAGAAATGGCCAATCAAACAATATGGAGATGGAGATGAAAACTTGACGACAATAGGTAAGTAAAAACCGTTTGTAAAACGCTCTTTTTATTCGAAAATGTTTTAATTATAAAGCTTTTAGTAATAAGTACTACATAAATTATAAACTATTGTAAAACGAAAATAAGTTAGAGAAAAATATTAATACTGAAGTTAAAAAACCAAGTGTTATAAATGTATTTAGTACGCCATTTTTTCAGTTCCGATGAAATGACATATTTTGCAGTAATTTAATTTACACAAAAATTAATCTAAAATCTACGAAATTCTCACTCCCGGCAGTCAGTCTCGCGCCTTCGAGAATCCAACTTTAATTTAAGAGAATACTGTCACCAACAAAAAAAAATGCAACTAAAAATATTAAATGCAATAATTTTCGTGACGAGCTCGACCATTCTTTGGATAAACAAACCTATTTTGGGTTTTCGCAGTCTGACAGGTTGATTCTATATTTTACAGTTTGTTTATTGAAGGGGGTTGTTTCCTTAGTGTTGTTTTCAAATTTATTTTTGTCTAATTTTTTCTTATCTATATGAATACGTAATCTGAAACTATTACAAACGTACAGGAAAAATTAAAACATAACGATCACAGTTTTGCGGTTACACAGCCTCCGAACGATTTTTAAAAAGCCAAAAATATTTCTGTTGTGCTAAGTTAGTTTTTTAAATTCTATGCTTTTGTTGATATTTAAGAATTTATGTCTTCAACATCGGTTCAAATTGTAAAGTTCCAATACAAATATCTAAAGGGATAAATTATTATAATTATTATTATCTGCTGTTAGCGCCTCTAACTTTTTAAATTTATATTTTCTAAAAAAGAAGTTTAATACAAAAGTTGTAGGGTTTAATGTGTAGATTTAATGTTGTATACTTATTTATATACAAGGTGTTCCACAAAACGTAGTATACATAAAACATCAAAGTTTTGCTTTTTTAAAATTAAATACGCTGTATATTAGGCCTGAATTACCCAAAAATAAAATCGTCACTTAGTTGGGCAGGTTTAAATTATGGCAATGTCGCTTACCATGAATATTGTAATTATTCAAAATTCTTCGCTGTGTATAAAACATGAGAAAAATGCAAACATACGCGCGAATATATAGAAATCCAAAGGAAAGAAGAGCGCATACCATTTAAAATGACATTTCAGCAATTTTATACAACATTTCAAAAAAATTAAAAAAGATGTTTTTTTATATTACTTAAATTATTGTAGCATTTTAAAAATTTTCATAAATTCCACACAACAAGATGTTATCGATTTGCAGAAGAATCACGAGAAGTTTTGGAGAACTTGAAAAAATCTACCTTTTTAAATTTATCAAATTTGAGCACTTGACTGGGAAAAATACTTCTTAACGATTAGCACTTTGTAGTCACGTGTTGCAAATGTTAGACAGTAATATTGAACATATCCCCACAATTGTCAAAATTAAACAAAAGACGTGACGATTTTATTTATTTTATTTTTTGGTAGTTCTAGGCTTAATGTAAAAAATACCTTAACCACTTACAGACAGCATTGAAACGCTGAGTCTAAAATATATCGCCATTTCTGCGCTTCCAAACGTTGGTCGTTTTTCAGTAGAGTGGGAGGTGGTAACGCGCCTTACGGAAGTACATCGCTCTCTAAATATTTGCATTTTGAAAAACAAGGGACGAGGGACCCAATGGCTCAAAGCGGGTAAAATATGCCGATCCAAATTATGAGAATGACCTTAAAAAGTGGTTTGGAGAAGTTGAGGGTGATAATAGCGACTTAGACGAGTGTGATGAGATTATTAATACCTATTTCCCAATGTTATGACAAAGTTTTATTTTTTTACTATTATTATTACTATGGAAAAAACAGGTTCAAATGGGCGAAAAAACCCGAAACTCCAATAGAGGGCGATGACCACAACACAATATAGAGATCCTACCACTCAAAGTTTGGAAGCCCTTGTTTAGTGGCGATGTTTGTGATATGCCTGTAAAATGGACGAATGTTCGAGTGTCTTTAATATTTTTATCAAAAACTGCAAAACTTGTTGTGCTATCGGCAAATCAGCCTGCAATGATGAAATGCTTGTTCGGTTGAGAGGCCGGTGTAGTATTACAAATAAACCCGTGAAATATGGGATAAAGATTATGTGCTGCACTGATGGTTTTAAATTTATATGGACAGAAACTCAGATGGAATTACACTATTCAATGATAAAAAGAGTTTCAATAAGCCTATTCAGACTGTATTATGGCTTACAAAACTACTTTATGGGACAAATGAATGAATGACTTTTGAAAATTGGTTCACTTCGATTGAGTTGGCCCAAGCCATGAAACAAAAGGGCTTAGGGTTCATTGGTACTCTAAAAAAAAGAAATACCAGCAGTTTTCACCTTGCTTTCATCCACAACAAAAATCAATAAGGTGAACCTTCAAATGCCACAAAAAATTTAGATGCAAAAAATTTTTTTCTTAACGCACCTCTCAGACGGTGTTTAGTGCATTACTTTGAAATACTATGATTTTTTTGGCACACCTTGTATATAAATAAATAAATCAATCTACACATTAAACTCTACAACTTTTGTATATTTTTTTTTCTAAAACGTCAAATAAAGTTATTGGGGGTGAACGTTGATCACTAAGTACTTTGAAAACGAGTCTTTATTAAACTCAATTGCTTCGGCCGTGCTATAAAAGGGCGTCTTAAGAAAACTTTCATTTTAATATAGCACATAAATAAAATCGACGCGTCTGCATCACTGCAAATACCCAAAATGATGTAGGGCTAATACAAACTCTAATTCGGTTTTCGCGTTTCGTTCGCTCTTCAAATATAGTAAAACGCACGAAAAATAAAATATATAATTTTTACCCAAAATTTGACGCTCTTCAGACGTTAATTAAACGAACCCACCAACTCGGGTTACTTCTTCTTGGCCGCTGGCAAGGGGCTTTCGGGCGGCGATTCGACTGACGACTCCTGCTTTAAGGATTTCCGCGAGTTCTTTAAGTTCTCCGAAAGCTTCTTTAGCGGCCTCGGCGATATATTCGAGTCCACGTTATGTGATTCCGGACCGTTGAACCACAACATGCGCGACTGTTCGTTGCCCGATACTGAAACCGCAGAAATTAATTCTTTTCAGAAAATATATCAACAACCATTTTGACTCAGCACCGAATTGTGAATCAAATCGACAATTTTTTTTATTCCATATCGTCGAACATCTGATAACTATGTAACGACATCGTAAAGCAGGTCAATCATTTTCTGTGTCTTTCACTTATAAATTGAAGTTAACACTTAACTTACATAAAAGAAACTCAGTAGGTAAAAATGTAGAAAAATGTCACTTGTCATTTCATTTATTACCTCTAAATTTTTGATCCACTTTGGACCCGCTACGATATGCGTAACCGTGGGCGGAGTCTAAAAGGGCGGCGGCCAACATGGAGGAACTTCCCGACGTACCGTCGGTAGATACTGATAGACTTTCGGTCGAACAGAATGGGCTGGGCTCGATACCGGGACTGTACATCTTAGAGAGAAACTCTTCGTAAGTTGTGCTGTACTTGTGTTTGGTAACGACCGTATCCAACGAACTCCACCTCTCCTCGTAGCTAAAAGCGTGTAAAAAAATAGTGTTGGCCGAAAACGAGGTCACCATATAACTACTAGACACATAGAGGTCTTAATACTGAATTTTTTAAAGGCAGGGAAAGACAGACTGTAAATAATCGGTGAGTCACAATAAGGATAAATTCTGGTGGTTTTTAAGGTTCTCTGCATACGCTCAGGTGAAGCCCTCGAAATGATAAAACAACTAAAACAGGCAATAGAAAAGGTAGGTGGTAACATTAATTTCCACAAAACAAAATTCATAACGAATGAGATTAGAAGAGGTAAAGATAATCAAACTTGCATGATTTAACGCAGTATAGGTTTGTAATTGCAACATAATCTACTAGGGACTTTGCCGATATGGTTAAAGAAAACAGTCAATGCATTTCGCAATGCGGCTCGGACCCGCTTGATTAAGAGTCCGCAGATAAGTTGAGAGTAAATCAAAGAAAAATGGAACGAGCAATGGTGGGAATTACAAGGTACCAAACAGGCTAGTGAGACAAAGAACTAAAGTAACAGATGTCATACAAACAAATATTCAAGGCAAATGGAGATGGGTTCGTCATATGGCGCGCTTGAGCGACAATAGGTCGACCAAAAGGTTGATAGAATTAAGACCCAGAGAAAATAAGGGAAATCAGGGTAGACCCCCAACAAGATGGGAAGACCATCTGAGAAAAACAAAAGGAAACTGGAAGCAGAAGGCACAAAACAAAATACTATGGAAGGAGATGAAGGAGATCTATATCCAACAGTGGATGCAAGAGGTTGGCGGATGATGATGATAACACTCATATATTTCAGGAGCTGTGTTTTGTTGCATTTTGTCAAGTTTTAACTTTTATGTTGATCTTAGAGAAATTATCTTCCATATTAAGTAATACTTGATATGCCCAGAATATGCCTCTAAATAGCTTCGTCTTCTGTGTAAACAAATATGCTGGCGAAATTTTCTATTTCCTTGAACAGTTATAAAACTAAGTTAAGGCATATTTTGTTAAATAATTTATAGCTGTATTTTTTATTGTTTAGAAAAAAATATGCACAACAGTGTCAAATTAAAAGATACAGTATTCGCAAAAAACGTGTGAATAGTTTAGCCGTCGTTACAAGTTTTAGAATTAGTGTGTGAGATCAAAATATTTGCGTTATTTTTTTTCAGTGTTTGGTTATATACTTACATAATATTTTATGTGTGATAATACCTAAATATTGAAATTAGAGACTGTGTATTTGATACAGTCTTTGTATTTTCCTCTCTGTATTTGATATAGTTATGCCAAACACTAAAACACTGTGTTCCGAACCATAAGGGAAATTATAAGAATGGACCAAAAGCAGATTTTGCGGAAAAATGGGTTCGAAGAATGAAAAACATTATTGAAAAAAAACACGGAGGTATTTACAATCCAGTAATAAAAGATGGACTAGCAAGTTAAAAAAATTGGTATGAGTTATATGCCCCAAACTGCTGACGAGGCCCAAAGCTAAGCGAAGATAACGCCTCGCGGACACCGCATCAAAAGCCCTATTTATTCGATTGTCACATTGCAAAATTGTTTTTAATTATTCCAGTCTTTGTATCAACTAGTCTGAATAGAACCCTATTTTGCTTTCTGTATAAATAAATGTTTTTAAAAAACGCTCTCCCAAATTGTGAACATCTTATTGATCTTTAACCCCATAAAAATGAAAGTAGTAACAGCCAAATTAAAAACACCTCCTTTGAACAGAATCAGTTTTTATTTATTATTTTTTTATTCAGTGCCAATAATATAATCTCTGCTGCAAAAAGACAAACATTAGAACTCGAGGGCATCAAACAGGCAATAACAACAATATATATATATATATATATATATATATATATATATATATATATATATATATATATATATATATATATATATATATATATATATATATATATATATATATATATATATATATATATATATATATATATATATATATATATATATATATATATATATATATATATATATATATATATATATATATATATATATATATATACAGGGTTTTTCACTTAAAACTCCGCACGCCAATAACTCCAAAACGAAAAGAAATATTTAATTTATGTAAAAAGTAGTCAAAATGTGGGGTCAAGTAGATATTTCTTAAAGTTTAAAAAATGCGACGCCTGCAAAGAGCTGGGCGTCGCGACGCGTCGAAAAATTATTCGATTGCAGAGACTTTGGAAATACGCGCATACAAAAGTACATATTATTTAAAAACTTTTTTGTTATTTACTCAAACTTATTTACTTTACCCGTTTCTAAGTTATACCGATTTAAAGTAAACATTTCTTGATTAATAAAAAATGTGATTAACGCTTATTTTTACAAGTATGCCATGAATGTTAGTTACTATAGCAACCATTGTTATCGCAGTTGTTTTAAGTGCAATTACAAACAATAGATTTCAACTATTTTAGTATGATTTTATTTATTATTTTTTATCGATTTAGTTCTGAAAACATGATAAATAAATGAAAAAACAGTAAAATACCTACAAGTTAATAACCAAAATTATTATTGCAATTAACTACATAATAAGACATTTCAAAAATTTTGTTCAAAATTATGTCCATCTGCTCGAACACAACTATTAAAAACTTTTAACACATGAGCTTGGGTCACTTGTAGGAGAGTCCTTCTTGTGATAGCGGCACACGCTGCACTAATTTTGTTAATGAGATCAGCCATATCTTCGATAGGTTCTTCATAGATAACGTTTTTTAGGTAGCCCCAAAGAAAATAATCTGGTGGTGTAATGTCCGGGGACCTCGCCGGCCACCTTATCGGTCCATTAGTACCAAACCATCTATTGGGATATTCTCGGTTCAAATACCTCGTTACTATTTGGGCATTATGTGCAGGCGCTCCATCCTGCTGTAGCCAGATATTCATTCTAGTGTCAAGAGGCACTTCTTCTAATAGTTCCGGAAGTGTAGTTTGAAGAAATCTTAAATAGCGATCTGCATTTAAAGTTCCTTCGTAAAAGTAAGGTCCAATAAGGAATCCATTTAATATGCCGCACCAAACATTGATACTAAAAATTCGTTGGTTACCTCTTTCTGTAATCCAACGAGGATGGTTTTCGGACCAAAAACGACAGTTGTGTCTATTAACGATTCCATTATTTTGAAATCGACTTTCGTCGCTCCATAAAATTTTCGAGAGAAAATTTGCATCTTGGCTATACAAATCGGACAATGTCGCTAAGAAATACATTCTTCTAGCATAATCGCCTGGTTCTAGTTTATGAACTAGTTTGCTTTTGTACTGGTGAAAAGAGTTTCTATGTAGAATTCTCCACGAAGAACTTATGGTAACACCGGTATTTTCTTTTATCTCTGATAGGGATATCTTGGGGTTATTATCAACCTGCTGAATTACAGCAGCAGTATTTTCATCATTTGTAGCCGTCCTGTTCCTATCTCTTTTAGGTTTTATGAAGCTGCCATATTCTCTTAAGTTTTTACATAAACTTGAAAAGGTTTTTGCATCGGGGACTCTTCTATGCGGATAACGCCGTGCGTAAACTCTTTTTGCTTCTCTACAATTGCATCTGCATTCTCCAAACACCAGTAACATGTCTACTTTTTTCTCATTGCTAAATTGCACCATTTTCACATAATAATTCTTAGTTTTTTTTAAACCGAACAAATTTGGATATTTCTTATGACAAAATGTGACAATTTTTTGATACAGCAATAACAACTTACGTTTGTAATTGCACTTAAAACAACTGCGATAACAATGGTTGCCATAGTAACTAACATTCATGGTATACTTGTAAAAATAAGCGTTAAGCACATTTTTTATTTATCAAGAAATGTTTACTTTAAATCGGTATAACTTAGAAATGGGTAAAGAAAATAAGTTTGAGTAAATAACAAAAAAGTTTTTAAATAATATGTACTTTTGTATGCGCGTATTTCCAAAGTCTCTGCAATCGAATAATTTTTCGACGCGTCGCGATGCCCAGCTCTTTGCAGGCGTCGAATTTTTTAAACTTTAGGAAATATCTACTTGACCCCACACTTTGACTACTTTTTACATAAATTAAATATTTCTTTTCGTTTTGGACTTATTGGCGTGCGGAGTTTTAAGTGAAAAACCCTGTATATATATATATATATATATATATATATATATATATATATATATATATATATATATATATACATATATATATATATATATATATATATACATATATATATATATATATATATATATATATATATATATATATATATATATATATATATATATATATATATATATATATATATATATATATATATATATATATATATATATATATATATATATATATATATATATATATATATATATATATATATATATATATATATATATATATATATATATATATATATATATATATATATATATATATATATATATATATATATATATATATATATATATATATATATATATATATATATATATATATATATATATATATATATATATATATATATATATATATATATATATATATATATATATATATATATATATATATATATATATATATATATATATATATATATATATATATATATATATATATATATATATATAGTTTAAATAAAGGCAAATGTCGGCCATAGCGTTTATTTTATGCTAAATTAGTAAATATAGAAATTTAAAATGTTACGTTTTTGTGCCTCCCCAACCCGCCATAAAATTTCCAATATAACTTGTATAAATATGCTTGAAAAAATATTACTTTAACTACATTTCAAAAAATTAAAAGTTAAAAATACCTATGCAGTATTTCTCAACCACGTTTGTACATATTTACACTATATTCTAAAGATTAAAAAAATATAATGCGATCTACCCCCATACCCGCTGACAGTTCGTTAATTCCACAGGTTTCAGTATATATGTAGTATGTAGCATTTTCAAGGCAGTATTTTCTCCAAATTTGCACGAATCTCTTTAAATTTTCTGGGAAAGCGAGTTAAGTGTTTGGAGATCGCTGTTTAGAGAGAAAATGGCGCAAATTGCAAGTTAGTGGGTGAAACTCTGAGGTATACGCAGATCATTCCCATCTCTATGAAAACATCATAACCTCTCTGTTCTAAGAAACAAAAAACACAGGAATGAGAGGAGAGGAAGGTGAGCAGTGCTTCAATGCAATGTCCGTCGCTTCAATCCTAAGTATTAAGAATCGTAAAAGCAACCCATATTTCATCACTCTAGAACCACATAAATTTTTACCTACTGGAAGCTATATGGACTGGACAAATCAATACTCACAACTGCTGGTAGAATTTGTAGGTAGTTCTTTTGGCTCTGCTGGCACAAACCGCCGTCGTCCTCACCAACGCCGCCAAAATGTTACTCTCCACGACGGCTTCGTTGAAAACGACACCAAACTGAGGGACCTGTATACAAAGCACCACACCCCTTTCATAACACTTCTGCAAATCTATATTTACTGAGCTTCACTTACGTCTTCCTTGCAATTTACAGTCACCCTATTTAAATTATTCCCCAGCGGGTATATAGTTATCAGCACGTCACAGAATTCGGTGGGAATGATATCGCGTCTATAGTCCCGATTGTGCTCCGACCAAACTATATGCACCTCGTCGTTACCCAAATGTTTTGTCTATAGAATCGATAAAATTGAGTATTAATTTTCGGAATTATTATGTATTATGCTTAAATACGAAATATATAATATTATATAAAGTTTCAAAAAGTATGAAAATTGAGGAATAAATTTATTACGTAACCAGTTGATTAATAAGTTTATTGTTTTTTAATATTTTCAAGTAATTTTGGACCACCACATATATTGAGTTTTTTTTTTCAAATTGAGGAAAAACCAGTTTTGTTGCTTGCCTGGAGGTCGGAGCGAACAATTTTGGTAGTGCATGGTAGTTGAAAGCAATCTTCAGAGTTTTCAGTTGAAATATAAACAAGCTGTGTGTAAGGTATTATCAAAGTTCTTTTTTTACACGGTTCAAATGCCTGCCTCGGCCTCTTATGGTGGTGGGGATCCGAGTGACATGTTAACCTTTTGTGCATCGGGTTTATTTGCATAGACGTCAGACTTCAAGGAACCCCACAAGAAAAGTCTAGCATATCAACACTGCAACAAATCCTTCATGCAAGCTGTCAATTATAGCGTCCGGTGTGTGACACTTACTTTTGCTGCAACCACATGTATTGTGGGTCCATATGATTCAATATTAGCTATAAGAAATTGGTTGCCATCGTTCTGTAGCGCTGGCAGTTGACGGTGACCTCCTCACCAACGTCGTTTTCGAAAAAGTATTAATCAATGCCGGCTCCGGTCCAAAAACCACATCAAAGGGTAACTTTTTGAGGAAGCATTATTACCTGGTGAACCTCACTTGGGTTGGTGTCACCTCATATACGCCTAGTCGTTAAAAATGATTTTTAGGCCCCTTTTAAATGATTTAAGTGAACAGATCACGTTGTCTATGGTCTGGTTGTCTAACTTTGAGCAATAAGTTTTCTTGTGCCGACATTAGGATCCATTTTTAATACCACTTAATTAATTAACCGTTATTTTTAAGTTCAAAACCGGTTCTATCATAAACGCACTACCAAAGTTCCCTCTTTAGGCGTTATTTATTGCTTTGGAGAGTGAACAAAGTCATTAGGACAGAGGTAACCACTAGAGGTTGATACGTCAGGTTCTTCGGGAATCACATTTAGAGCAGAATAAACCTCAATAAGTTTAAGATTTTGGTTTTATTTTTGCGGTGGCTATTATTTGCCGCAAAAAGTAAATGTATTAGAAAACGTATAGCGTGCAACAAGCAACAAACATAGCACAGCACTACTTGATTTGGAGAAGGGAGTAGAAATATATGTTAAAAGGAAGGTATCGTAACACTAAAGTCGGATTGAGTTTAGTGTTATGATTGATTGTGCATTTTTTGACAAATGTGACAAATCGTCTTTATTGCAATTACAGCGCCATTTACCGAGAATCCAAAAGAAAACTTCTGACAAAAATGCATTTAAGATTTGCGATGACGTGGCGAGTGTCAATTTGGTATTATTGAACATTTCTTGTATTAATTATTTTAAGGCATTCTTTTTTTTTTTAATCAATTATGTAATTCTCGAAATATTCCACCATTTCCATACTTTTTGGACACCTGGTATGTTAAAATAAATTGACTAAATTATCTAAATTATTACTATCTAAGTTAAAAATTACACGGGTACTCTACTTATTCTGCCTATTACCTTATTCAAGACGGCCTCTTTAGTGTCTCCCGGCATCCTGGTGGCGACGTGAAAAATCGCTTCCATAAAACTGGTTGCCATATAGGGAGCGGTCACGCCCGTAGATCCTTGTCTTTGCAAACCACCGAGGAAGCCGGTGTGGATCTCTAGTTCGATTTCCCAAGCCAAGGCGGCAACAAATTGTTCGTAAGCAACGCTGCCACTCTGATTAGCGAGGATGGAGGTTTTGTCTTCTTGTCCAGGCGCCACATAGATTACTGCGAACTGATCAAAATGGCAAGATTGTTATGATCGGACCGTTTCAAAATCTATTTCTTACTTTGTGGGTTTCCCTGCACGTTTGATTGTCCAGATTGCGAAGTTCTCGCAAAAGTCTCTCCGTTTTATCCAGAAGATGGAGCTGCTTGCGTCTCTCCCAACCGGCGAGACTAAGCTGCGAGAACAGCATGCGGCACTGGTGGAATGTATTCACTTGAACTAAACTCAATGAACCTGAAAAATCGATTCTTGCGTATGCGCATATTTTTTAAAGTGTGGTTTGTTTTTATTTTTTTTTATTTAAATATGTTAAGTACCTGGTACAAATGTAACTACAACAAATTTAAAATATAGAACTCTACAGGATTTGAGGTAAAAATATGAAATAATTCAGAAAATGTCATATCTTGGATGAGGATGCAAAGCAATTTTGCTATATTTTTTATTAGTTTTTACCGAAATATGAATTTTAGGGCATTAACGGCAACACTGTACGACTATCAGACGTGAAAACAATGATATTGAACCAAAAATGCCTTTGGAAAAGTGTAGCTTATTAGTGTAATTGTAATTTCTCTGTGGCCCAAACAGTTTTTAAAATATCGATACGAAAACTTTGCATTTGCGATTACATTCTATTCTTTTCCGAAAACCCTCTACTTCAAGTGTTCATGTTGATATTTCAAAAACTGCTTGAGCTATAGAGAAATAACAATTTCTAGACATTCCATTAAGGCATATTTGGCTCATTTACGAGAATGCTTTTTGACGCATTCATTACGGACCACCCTGGACATAAATATAAAATCAGATGATTAGCTGGACTGTTCTACAGGGACTGTTTTACAAGTGACAGTAGAATCGTACATGCAAAAAAGAAAAACCCAAACTTCGGTAATTCAATACAACTAACAACACTTTAGAAATCGAGATATTCATTTATATATTTCATAGATACTGAGGTGCTGAAGTACAGTACAGTTGATGAGTAAAAACAACATAAAACCAAGGAGTACTAATAAAAATTAATATTTGCAGATCAAAAGTTTTTCAAAATAAATAAGAACTAAAAGTTCAGATTTTCACGAAATTATATATTTTGACATGACAATTGTTTCGACAACGACAAGACACGGTGTTGTCGAAACAATTGTTATGTCAAAATATATAATTTCGTGAAAATCTGAACTTTTAGTTCTTATTTATTTTGATAAATGGATTTTCATCAAGTAAAAGCCTCCTCAGTTCAATTTTTCAAAAGTTTTTCCTTCTCTTATAAATAAAAAATCCCATATGTACAGAACATTATAGGAATTCTTTTACTTCTTTATATGGAAATAAAATTTAACTTCTGATCACTGAAATAAATACAGGTTGCTATTATGTTTTGACTATAGAGATATTCCCAAATAACTGCTCAGCCTAAGGTTTTATAATAAGGTAGGTATATTTATAAGGGGTTTATAGATAGACAGATAGACAGATATTTGTTTCGCTTTTCAATATTACATATAATACATATGGGTATATCACATTAAAATACAGTGTTTAAACAATACATTTAAAAAAATCATCTACTGAGTAGAGACATTTATTACTTAAAAAGATCTTAATTCTTTTTGTAAACACAGATAAACTATCAGTTTCTTCGAAGCATTTATAGAAATTTAAAGTTCTGTTATGTACTTTCAAGACAAAATATCTTGGGTTTTGTTGCCCAATATGCAGTATAGAGAATGAAACGTCCAAGTAATCTCTTTGCCGTGTGCCATGTTCATGCAAGTCACATCTATTCCATCTTATCATGTTACTTTTAACGTAAATCAAAACGGAATAAATATATGTGTCATGATCTGAAGTTCCCTAAATAAATCCCTACTGAATGTTTAATAATTACATGCATCATGTAACAAATAGCATGTTTTTGTGCTAAGAAGACCCGGTGTGCACCAGTGGCTAGACCCCAATAGATTATACCGTAACCTATCACTGATTGGAACAGCACAGCTTTAAAACGTCAATGATACCGTATCTTTAATATTTTGGATTAAGTATGAGCAGGAGCTTAATTTGGGCTATATGTTGTCGATGTGATAATTCCATGTAAGTTTGTTGTTAATGTGCAGACCGAGAAACTTAGTAGCCTGCATGTTTTCTATAGAACGTCCCTCTAATTGGAGAAGAATACTGGAATCAACGCGAATATTTTTTGTGACTATTCCCATAGCCATTGACTTAGACTTAATTAATTGTAATCCGTTATCGCGACACCATTCATTCACCCTCGTGACCCTTGCTTCTGCGGCCCCTTTTGAATTAGCTCTGCTCTTATCTATAACTAAAATGCTTGTGTCATCAGCATACAGTACAAATAATGTATCTGTATTATCCTGAGCAAGATCTTTAATAAAACAATTAAAGCGTTAAATTAAAGGTGATAGGCAGGATCCTTGCGGGGTACGTCTGCCTACATATTGAGGGCTCGATTTTGAACCGTCAATCACAATCTGCTGTACTCTCTCGGAGAGGTAAGATTTAACCCATGAGTTTGTTGGACCTTTAACGCCCACATTTTCCAGTTTTTTTATGAGCAGGCTATGATCGACAGTGTCAAATGCACGGCTCAAATGAAAAAATAAGCCTAGTATGGCTGTTTTGTTATTAAGGCTGTCGAAGATATGCTCCAGAGCATAGTCCAGAGCTGTACTTGTGGAGCGGTTGGCTCTGAATCCGTTCTGAGCATCAGAAATCAAAGAATATTTTTCAGGGAACCTCTGCAGTCTGTCATTATAACAGGCCTCAAAAATTTTTGCCACTTCACATTGAAGAGCTACGGGGCAGTAGTTCTCTATGTTGGTTTTATTGCCTTTATTTTTAAAAATAGGTACGATTTTTGAGTTTTTTAAGGCCTGTGGATACTTGCCCTGGACGAAGCTCAAATTGGCTAAATATGATAGAATAGGAGCTATAATATCTTTAATAGAAATTAACAAAGTGCCCGGTATTTCATCGATTCCAGATGATTTCTTGCGGCATACTTTTCCAATTACTTGTTTTATCTCTACTGTTGGAGTAAGGTAGAGAAACATTGAACTTGAGTGTATTTGGATATCGGGCGTTAGATTTTGAGGCTGCTTGCTATTGTCAGCAAGATCAGCAAAATATTTGTTAAAAATTTCACAGATTTTGTATCCCTCTTGAAATGTTTCACCACCAACGATTATGTTAGTTACAGAAGAGGATTTACTTTTATGGTTGCTATTTTCCCTAACTATTGCCCAACTTTCCTTACTTATGTTATCAGATTTCATTAACCTTAAATTGTGGTGAGTTTTCTTTGCGCGTTTAAGTTTTTTGTTGTAATAGGATTTAAGTTATTTGTATTTTTTATTATATAGATCATTTTTTATTCCTTTATTTATTTGATGCATCTCGTGTACCGCACGACTCAGCTCTTTTAATTCTCTATTAAACCAATTTTTTTTCCTGTACGAGACTTTTAATTTTTTTACAAATCGAAAACTTGACATAAATATTTGTTTTAGTTTTTCGTAAAAAGTGTTAAAATTTTTATCTAAGTCGTTGGATTGAATATCGTGGAGCAAATTATTCCAATCTGTGTTGGATACCAAATCTATAAAATAATTTTCATTATTTTCTGTACAATTATTATGACAGAACTCCTCAAAAATGAAGAGCTGAAACGTGTGGTCAGAGACACTTGTGTCAACAGCCAAGCTTTTTAGTCCGGTAAAGTCGACGAAAATATTGTCAATGTTCATGTTCTAGAATTATAAGTTATCCTAGTGGGCTCTACTATAGAAGCAACTAAATTATACTCAAGAAGTATATTTTTTAGTATTTTAGTTTGTTTGTTGTTTTCAAGTAAGTTGACGTTAATAAGCTTTTATAACAGTTTTTATAGTTTTATAAGGAAACCAATATTTTTTAATTAGTTTTCGTTACGGTTACGAAAGTTTTATAAGTACCTTTTTGGTAACTTATGCCACGCTGATGTCTTTTATTGGGTAAAAGCTAAGTCTGAAGTAAATGGCGCATGTGTAGATTGAATATAAATGTTTAACGTCTTTTGACGTTTGTTGCGAAAGGAATTGTGCCATCAGAATGAAGAATAGGTAAAGTCTTTTCGTTCGCCATTATTAAATAGGGCAGACCAACTCACCTTCTTCTTGAGTATTCGACATGAAAGTCGACCTCTGGTACTGATCTGACGAATGATTGTTAGGGTAATTGTCAATTCGGATCAGTGGCTGACCCGATACCAATGGTACATGCTGGATAAGTCTCACCTCCTCCGCTTCTACATTCCTCTGACTTATTACGGTGGCTATCGCCTCCTGTTCGATATCGACCGAAACTGGTGAACATGCGGGTTCGTTCAATTTCCTGTCTGAGCATTCGAGACATTCTGGACTCGTATAGCCCAAATATTGGAGAAGCTGGTGCAAAAAAATTAAACTCGGTAACCGCAAAATATAGGGAAGAGAAGATAACTTGCATCGTCTAATTGATCCAAGTCGGACGCAGCGTTTGACAGTTCGGGCAACATGTCGGGTGGTCTGTGCCTAATAGCCCTCTGGGGGAGAATTTGAGGTGTTAAGGTGGCGTCAACAAAACTTTCCAGGGTACCGTCACCCAAACAGTCTGGTACTTTCAACACATTCGGAAGGGTTTCTTGGTTACTCTAAAAGACAAGTAAAGAAGCAAAAGAAGCAACATTTTATACATAGGTAATAACAACTATACAACAAATGGTATAGTATAGTATAGTATACTTTGTCTCAAAGTATATTGTTTTAGTTCTTGGATTATATTAAATATTAAACAATTAAAACAATTAAAAAATATTAAACAATCTTAATAAGTACGTTTTTATTTAAAACATAATTTTTGTTTCATTCACAGAGTCGTCATTAAGATTAATTAGAATAGGCTCTTAAGATTAATTAGAATACTCTCTATGTTATTTTGTACGCAAATGATTTTTTTCCCTCAACAGATATATTGTTATTCCCATTTTATATTAAATTTAATATACACTGCAAGTATCCTGATCTTACATCTCTTCTTAAACTTGCAGTTTCTTGTAACTAATTCACAAATAAATATTATTTTGTAATAAATATTCTTGAATTTCAGTGTTATATTTAATGAATTTGGACTTTCTGTAACCGGATGGCTTCCTTTTCAGATTATCCAAAGTAGGAACAATCTGGTATTAATAATTCACTACGTTTTTTATCGAGAATATTGACGTTTTGACAAGCAGGTTTCTTTTAAAGCCACTTGTTTTCTGAAACGCACAGTAAAACGGGACACAGCCACTTGCCCCTGTCTTGTCCCTCATCAAAACGTATTACTGGTTATTGTAATTACTTTTCCGCGGGAAGGGTCTGTCAAAAGCGAAGACAAAATACTTTGACACATATTATACATTTAAACTAATTGATTTGAGGACACTTCAAGAAAGGTAAATATTTAATAATTACGTCCACTTTAATTTTGCTTTTTTTTACAAAACGTATTCCGATGAGTTTTTTGAGATTAGATTAGAACATAGCATACAGTTGTAAAATTTCTTTCAACTGAAAACGTTATTAACAATTAATCAGGAAATATCGTCAGTTTTGAACTACTTAAAATTAATATTTTTCCACCAAAATGAATATCACAAAACAACAAACAGTGATGTTAATTTTTACGTTAATTTCAAATACTAAAAACAACGAAACATCAAATAAATAATAATTCATTGAACATGATTTATTCTTAACAGTCATTTGATTTTACATTCATAAGAAACGATGCATGTTGGGACTCACTTAAAACATGGACTCCTAGCAGGATGCAGGAGCGACAACAAAGAAGAATGTTATTTTTTAAAATTGAAAAACCATGTATGTTACATATGACCGTTATAAAACGATCAGTCGTATATAACGACCTTTTTGCAGTAGCAACTACCCTCAACCGACTAATATTTGATTCCCCAAGGGTGGCTATTAAGGGATTCTACTGTATAAAATTTTTATTACAATTTTTAATTTGCTATATATTCTTCAATTACACCTAAGAGATTTAAATATAATTTCTAATAGCTATTAAATGCCTGCATTTTTTATTTCTAAAATGTTGGTTTAGTACTTAACGAAGCAGATTTTTAAGTGACTTATTACAGGGTTGTTGATTATATCACATCATATTAACTTTAAATATGACATAACATGTTTTAACCTCATTTGCGTCATAATAGTGGAATCGATTGTCGCGGGTTATATATATATATATATATATATATATATATATATATATATATATATATATATATATATATATATATATATATATATATATATATATATATATATATATATATATATATATATATATATATATATATATATATATAGTGCTAATTATAAAACTTATTTTTAGTTAGTTACAAACAAATGAGGACAAAAATCTGGTCACCGTTACCTTTAAAGATCCTCCATATGGCGGTTTTATAAGAGTAATGAAAACATTTTGCGAACAATTGACAGGTTCTCAAGTTTTATAAAATAATTTATCGAAATGTAACCATTACCCATATAAAACAAAAAAATGTTAGTTAGGACTTACCGAGTCTACCTCGTCAGGTACTTTGTACAGTATCGACGCATCCCAGCTCGACTTTCCCAACAGATCCCTAAACAGAATCCTGACCTGTCTGTCAGCAGTAACGAGACCGGCGGTGACACCGCCCCCCGGCAAATCCAATGTCGGTAGTTCGATGAGGCTTGCTATGATATTTTTTGACAATATCAAAAGCTACAACAGAAAATAAGGTCAGCATAGTACTTTTTTCATGACCCAAGAAAGGAACTTGACTACCTAAGCCCGTATAAATGTTGATTAGACCCAAAAGTCGTAAATTTATGACTACCTATGTGAAGGGCATTCTGCAAGGTCACACTATTAAGATACCTGACTAGTATTATTTACAAAACCTCTGCATTCTTCCTGCGACGTTAACAAGTTCGCCTCAACAACAACCGACATAGGAGGAATCCAGAAGTTTTGTAAATAGTATTACAGTAGCCTGTGGAACTTTCTTTGAAAAAAAAAAAAGTATTGTCCTTGGTTTTAAAATTTTAATATAAAATTTACTAAATAATACACGAATATTAGTACATCAAAGTACATTTCGATTATTGTTAGATATTATCTAATTCAATTTCGCTGCCGCTACTATATTCTAAATTAATAATGAGCCCTCAGCGGTTATACATTTTCGACTTCCGCTTGATCACACTACTATCGGAGTAGGTACAACTGGGTGTATCATGGGAGTTGTACCACGTCTCATGTTCGGTTTTAAGGTGAGAGGGTTATAAAGCATTATTTTGTTTTGTTTGTCTGGTAAAACACAGCAGGATAAAAATTGAAAGTGTTAATATTTATGGTTAAAGCTACCATTCGAGACAATTTGAAACAATACCCACGTATTCTTAAAAAAAATTATATCATTCTTTGGCTTACTTTAAATAAGAACCAAATCGCTTCAAAATCAAATAAAACGGTACTTCGCGTTCTACCACTGTGAATTAAACCCTATAGAATTGGTAAGGGTTCAAAAAATAAGCGAAGTTGAAACTCTCTTGGAAAAAATGGAGTAAATGGGACATGTGATTGAAATAGAAGAAAGAATTTCGGGAACCTGATATCATGCCAGAAAAGACTGTAAGACCCTTTATCGTTTCTCTGAACTCTGAACGAAGACGCATTTAAATCTACTTGGTCATTATGTAATAGACTGGAATATCTCATTTTGTTAGTCTTTATAGCTTCCAACAAATTTACTTTTTTGCTTTTTAATTGATTATGTAAAATATCAAAATTATCGTCAAACTTGGCCATTTCTGAATTTAAATGAATGGCTTAGTTAGAATTTGAACTTGTATTTTCATAACCTCTTTTATGTTTGTTAATGCGTTTCTTAACTGTTCTACCTGTTTGTCAGATATAAATTTTGGAACAATTCAACTTGTACATACACACATACATACATACATATATAACCATATAAAATTTACCATTTACAAAACCTCTGGATAACTCTTTAAGACTACTCAATACATCACTTTCCACAGACAATTGTGAAAAAGAATTAAATATTGTGAAACAAATAGCTTTTAACAATAGTTATGACCCCTCTTTGATAAATAAGATTATAACTAAAAACCAAAACCAGTTTCAAATAACTCTGAACTCTACCTATCCCATATTAAACACCGAACCCAAAATTTAAAAAACAATAAAATACATAGGAAAACATAGCAAGAAGATTTCGAAACATCTACCTAAATTTGGCCTTACTATTGCTTTTAAAACTGAAAACACCCTAATACACTTTTTAAAAAACAATAAAACTAAATTACAAAAACTCAAGAATCCGGAATTTGCAAGTTGAAATGTGGATTATGTCCCAAAATGTATATCGGACAAACAGGTAGCACATTTAAGAAACGCATTAATAAACATAAAAGGGCGCATAAAAATAAAAGTTCGGATTCTAACTAGGTCATTTAAATTCAGAAATGCACAAGTTTGACGACAATTTTGATGTTTTACATGATGAATCAAAAAGCAAAAAACTAATATCTTGGAAGCTATGGACATTAACAAAATGAGATATTCCAATCTAATACTTAATGACAATTAAATTTAAATGCATCTCCCTTATTAAATTTAAATTTATAGCCCTAGACCGATAATTAAAAATCTATTACTACATATTTATAGGTGCCCCAATATTGTCATGATTTGTATTTGATATAGGCAGGGTGTTGCTGAACCAGCTATCATGAATCATTAAATAACAGTTAAACTCTGAACACTTTTGTTCTAATTTAATAATATTATAAATAGTTTTGTTTTTAAATATTTATTTCAATTTATCTATTTTCATATTAAGCTTAACTTCTATATAAGTTTTTATTTATTTGAACTTAGAATAATTGATATCTCAATTACCTGCTCATCTCTATAAATTATTAAATTATTATTGTAGGGGCGTGGCTTCGCTCACATACCTGGACGTTAGGCGCCAGGAATATGTTGAATGTCAGATTATCCGAGGGGGCGTAGTTGGGCACATCGTCGTATTCGGACACGAGCGAACTTAGCCTAGCGGCTCCGACGGCCATAGGAAAATGTCCGAGATGGCCCACGATGTGAGCTAATACCGTTTCCGCGCATAAAGCAATATCCCTGTGGCATTTCGTGTTGTCAGGGGTCGATTCTTTCACCATCGGATTGCCGGATTTTTTGAAATACTCAGAGAATATGTTGGGGTCGAAATCGCCACTGCCGTGACTCGATCCGCTCCTAGTTTCAGACGGGGCGGGACTCGAAATCAATCTGTGGAGTACCTGAAATATGGAAATGAATGGGCCAAATGTGTAGTGCATGTTGGATTATAGTAAAATAAATAGGTGATGTTTAGAAAAATGTAGAATTTTCATGTGTTGTCAAGAGAACTGATAGTGGACAATGAAGTGGAAAGCTTTATTTAGAGCATTTACACAATTCAGTATTATACCTCACTTGACCTGCGTTATTCGTAAATTACTTGACAAGTATTAACAACGGTGTCTCTACCTGAGGATTTGCATTTAGCTACATCTGCACAGTCACTGCTCAACAATGCTTTCAGATTATTTTTTTAAAAGCTCATGTAGATTATGTCATAAAACAAGGAAGGAAAGAGTATACTCTGAAATGGAAACAGCTAGCCATGTGCCGTTTTCACAATTACATATATTATGAAAATCGAGCTCCACACACCTATGTCTAAAGAGGAGTTTTCCTTTAAAAATTTCAAATTTGGCCCACCCTGTAAAAAATTATCGCAAATGTTATGAACAACTAGGTTATAAATCTCAGGTGAACTTAAGTCCACCCACAAAACCTAGTGGAAGTGATGTTAATTTGAAGCTTAATTTTTGTTTTGCAAAGGGTCGCCTATACCAATTGTGAATTTAGTCCTTGGAATAAAGATATTGTACTTATAATTTGAAATGAAATGTAAATAAATAAACACTTTAGTTCACTGGTTCGATCACCGACGACTATTGTAAAGTGTCCATGTACTGGTTAAATATCAGCCTACAGCGGCAAAAAATTGATAAAATTCTTGAAACCCTTTAAAACTTTAAATTTATCGTTTTTTTTTTGTGGTTCTTTCCTTAATTATTTTAACAATTAACCTTACCGTGAATACTTGCAATAACAAACATGATCCCTTGCTGTTAGGTTCTTCCAACAATCGCCGAGGTCCGAGCCGCATGCACCACTCGCCGAGGCACAGCAGCAGGGCGGCCACCAACACTCTGTCACTTTCCACTGCCATCGTACCCGAAGGGGCGTGGACCGATAAAGCGCCACACAGTTCTGCGATTATTGCCTGCACGTAAATCGGGTAGCGCTTGTGAAGGAGAGACGCGTGGTTGCAGAGTAGAAAAAGGTGATCGCTGGCTATTTGGGCTATAGCTCTGTTGTTGAACTGCGGAAACATTAATTTATTTACAGTCCCACATAAACAGACACCTGTATACACCCAACATGCACATTTTTGTTTGAAAAATCGAAAGGCGCTGTACTAAGCCGGGCGTTTTAATTGCTTTATATCATTTTAATGTTTAAAATATAGTACAAATATGTACAATAGGTAAAAATGGTCTATAAATTCATACAGACGTGGTGAATATTTGATTATAATTTTTTATTTTTTTTAAGGGCGAGGATATGATCAGTTTCTAAAAAACTTATAGGAGATATTGAACATAATAGTATGCAAAACAAGAATGTTCCGCAATTCTATCTTTTTTTTTCTAACCGAGCCTTGCTCGTAAATTTTAATAAATTAATTTACCTCTTTTCAGAAAGATACAATATGCTTTTCTTTAGGCTGTTCTTAGAATAGTTGGCTGTTTTATGGGAACATGTAATTTCAGTGACAAGCTGATTGACTGACAAATAAAAACCCTGGGACACAAAAACACATTATTTCAAATTTACTATATAAACTTCTTCAGCATGTTTCTCTGGCCTTTTGTTACGTGCCAGTGTCTATATTTAAACTAAAACATGGCGACGCGTGCTTATCACTAATGTCCTAGAGAAAGCCCTCAGAGCAGCCGAAATAGAAGCTGAATTATGAACAACCACCAACCCAATTACTGTTAGTATGCGCGGATGATATCGACCTCATCGGAGATTCCGTCAAAACAGTAAAAGACATTTTCAACAAGGTCAAGAAAATAACAAGCATAAATGTGCACGAATAGAACGGGACGAAAAGGTAGAGCGCTTCAAATACCCTGGTACCACAATTACAGTAGACAACGACGAAGAAAAAAGTTGTACAGTAAGCCACTAGCCAAAACTAACCCACCCAGGGTTGTAGCGCTAAATAACGACAATGATGAAATATTTTGGAGGACTTTTACACTCTGTATCTCATTAATGAGCAGCATTATACTAATGCGTATTGGCTAACTGTGTTTTATAGAAAAAAATTGTATTATTTTTCATTTAGAAATCATCAGGCGAGTTCCTGGCGCCTGTAACTAACTGGGACTGATTGGCTAAGAGAAGACAACTCCGACAGAAAAACGGGCAGGTCGAGAAGCCCCAAGGTGGCAGCCCCACCACTCGTCTTACTCAACTACAGATCGGTTACCTGTATTGAGGAATCTACTAATAACTCACAAGCTTCATACAAATGCCTCGGAGGATAGGACTGGATTATCTGCTGAACGACCCCGGCAAGTTAAAGGTAAACGAGTAGGTATAATTGATAAGCTAATATTAGGAACTTGGAATATGAGAGGCTTAGGAAATAAAGAACAAGAACTAAACAGAGTACTTAAAGAACGCAAAGCAAACATAATAGTCATAACTGAAACAAAAAAAAAATTAAAAGGAACTAAAGAATTAGACGATTACACAATGATTTACAGTGGAGTGGAACAAAATAAACGAGCCTGCTGTGGAGTCGATATATTAATCGACCATAAATGGAAAACAAAAATCACTAGCTATACTTTTATAAATGAAAGAATCGTATCAGTGAGACTAAAATACGAAAGAGGTCATCTGACTATTATTGGTGTTTATGCTCCAGAAGAAGGGAAAAAAGAAGATACTGAATACTTTTACGAAACTTTGCAAAGTCTAGTGAACAGATGTAATAAGAACGACGCTATCATTATAGCAGGAGACCTAAATGCAAGGGTAGGCAATATACCTATCACAGGAATTTTGGGTCCCTTCGGAGAGCCATGTCTAAATACAAATGGACAAGAACTGATACAGTTTGCTTCTTACAATCAGTTACGTATTACAAACTCATTTTTCAGACATAAGGAAATCCATAAATACACCTGGAGTGCTAGAGGCCAAAAATCGATAATCGACTATATCATTGTAAATGATAAAATTACCTCACTGATAGAAGATGTTAGGGTATACCGAGGCAGCGATGTCCATTCAGACCACTACTTGCTAATATCCACAATTAATATGCCTGCAAAATGGAAAAACACAAGTAAGAAACCCACAAACGAACTGGTATTCAAAGTATATCTGTTGAACGAGAACAGTGTTAGAGACCTTTATATAAGACGCCTGAACCAATATTTATCACAAACACTTAAAAGCGATAACTCCGACAAAGAATGGGAAAACATAAAGAGATGCATAGAAAGAGCAGCTTTTGAAAGTCTAGGAAAGAAGAAGAAGTTCAGAAATAAACATGGGCTAAGAATATGGAACAAAGAAATCGAAGAAGCCATTAAGAAAAAGAAAGTTTCATATTTGAAATATCTACAAACAAAAACAGATGAGAGTAAAGGGCAATATAACCTAGCTCGTAACACTGTCAACAGATTAAGGAAACAAATACAACAACAGTCTTGGGATAAATTCATCAGCAACGTGGAAAACGATATGCATGGACAACAAGCATTTGCTTATAAGGTAATTAGACAACTCAATAAAACTACAAAAGATCAGGCAAGCTTAAATATAATTGACGAACAAGAATGGACTAAACATTACGAATCTCTATGGTATAACCCAGATGCAGTAACATCAGAAGAAACAGAAAACGACGATATTTATGTGGGCGATAGAATAGATATCGAAGAACTTCATGAGGTAATGAAAAAGATGAAAAATAGAAAGGCGGCGGGTCCAGACAACATCAACATGGAACTCTTGAAATATGGAGGACCGATATTAAATCTAAGATTATTGCACCTGTTTAATGAATGCTGGCGAGAGTGCCAAATACCTAAAGAATGGCAAGACACCCAAGTCATATCAATATTCAAAAAAGGGAAGAGAAACGATTGCAACAACTACCGAGGTATAAGTCTCATGAACTCTATATATAAAATATACTCTAAAATTATCAACAACAGAATAAAAGCAATCTCAGACGCCATTCTATTAGAAGATCAAAATGGGTTTAGGAAAGGAAGATCTTGCACTGACAATGTCTTTACTGTGAGACAAATCATAGAAAAACACCGCGAATACAATATTCAAACACACATCGCCTTCATAGATTTTGAAAAGGCATTTGACAGGGTGGACAGGAATCTTTTGTGGAAAATTATGCGCCTCCGAGGATACCCCATACATCTGGTGCGAACAATAAAAACCTTGTACGAAAACACCCAAATAACTCTAAAATTAAACAGTGGCGAATCCAAACCCATAAAGACAAACCAAGGCTTAAAACAAGGATGCAGTCTGTCACCTTCTCTTTTTAATATCTACATTGACCATATCTTGAGAGAATGTAAAAGACAAACAAAGAAGGGAATTAAGATCGACCAGAACGACTATATGAATTCCCTTCTATTCGCAGACGACCTCATACTGATACAAAACAATGAAAATGATCTCCAAAGCTCTATACATAAACTGAATCTACTGTGTAAGGAATACAATATGAGACAATTTCGAAGGAAAAGACGAAAGTTATGGCCTTTGAAGGTATGGACTCTGTAAGAACAAAGATTGTTCTAGACAATCAACCATTGGAACAGGTGTCTCAGTTCCAGTACCTTGGTTGCGAAGTAGGATATGACAGAGATAATGATATCTCTCAAAAACTACGTAAATTTGAATATATATGTGGAACAATCCAAAGAACATTAAAGAATAAAACAAGGAAAGACACCAGAATAAAATTCTACAAAACTATGGCAACTCCAGTACTCCTATACGGTTGCGAAAGCTGGGTACCAACAAAAGCAGAATATAGCAGAATACAAGCGGCCGAAATGAAATTTTTAAGAGGGGTGAAAGGTTGCACACGACTAGATAGATTTAGAAATGAAGATATCAGAAACGAATTACAAATATTTGCAATGACAGATAAAATGAAAGAATATAGACGCAACTGGAAACAACATGTAGATAGAATGCCTGATGACAGAATCCCGAAAATAATAACAAACTACCAGCCAACAGGCAGAAGAAGTCTAGGTCGACCCCGCCGACGCTGGAGGGATGTATGAAGCCGGAACAGACTATAAGTCTAAACCGTGAAGAGTAGAAGAAGAAATCATCACATCATAATCTTAAAAAAAAGAATGGTACTAATAACAAAGTCATGGCATGGAATAACGAGATTATAGGGTATAAGACATATTATGGCAAAAAATATAATATAATCGTAATTCCCATCTCCAAAAAGCACAGAATCCAAATCGATATTTCAAAAACAGCTTCAGCTATACAGAAATAATAATTTTGAGAACTAAACTTTAACACTATGTATCTCACTAATGAGTGACATTTTACTAAGACATGTTTGGATCAATTTCATTATTTTCACGAGTTTAATGTAGGAGTTTTCCTCACTTTAATATACCGCAAAATTTTGACAACTAAACCAGAAAAAAATTAAACTTATTAGGGAGTGACATCGAATTACCTTCAGTGCTTGAAGTAGCACACTTATTGCTTCCGTAACCTTGGAATGGAACGTTTGATTGGCGAGCTCTTTATAGACGAATATTCCCAGGCCAGACAGCGCCAAACATCGAGCTCGGCTGGTTGGTTCGCGTTTCCCTGCCCTTAAAAGAATGCTAACCACATGATCCTAAAACAAAAATCAGACAGCGTTACCACAAAAGGGTAAACGTATCTACGTAGAATCCTGTGACGTAGTCAGTTTTATTTTAAAACTTGTGTTTTTTTAATGGAACGCCCTGTATATATTTCAACAATTTTATTAGGCTGGTTGAATATTCAAAAAAAATTTTTTTATGAGTAGGATATGGAGAAAAAATTGTCCGCTTCCTAATATGCTTTAGTTGTCCGAGTATTTATTATTTTGCAATTTGCTAATGCTCATGTTAACCCAAAATATGACAATTATGGGAAATTGGATGTAACACGGTAATATCATCACACACAAGTTTATTTTGATAGTTGACTAACTTTTTGTAATAAGTTATGTAAAAACAAATCTGTATTTTCCATAGATACATAATCAAAGTTGTTTCTATTTTATTATACTGTACCGATAATAATACTTTTACGTATTCAAAAGTATAGGAACATAAGAGATTTAACTCAATATTTCTTAACACTATGTTCCGTTAATATTTTGTTAAACATTATTCATAAAATAACAAATACTTCTTTGTTTAATAATAACGATATTGTTTGTAAGAAATGCCTTTTTTTAAATGTGAGAACGTTCCAATGAATAAACACTTATGCTAATGTAGAGGAGTTTCGATTTCACATGCATCTTGTGCTACATGTGATTTTTATTCATTTAGTTACAAAATTGGCAACACATTAGCTTTATTAATAAGGGAGGTACGCCGTAAAACTTCCAGAAATAGGATAAACTGTACTGCACAATTATTACTGTCGCATTTTCAAAGTAAAGCGCCGCCCCATTACTATCGGGGTACTGAAAGAACATGTAAGAAAAGATAACATTGGCGACATATGTGAGACAGACCTAAAACCAAAAAATTGCTGTCGTTGTGATGAAACAGACATTTAGGCAAAGCATGAGTGGGGTGAGAAGTGTTGCCTAAATATGGTAATGGCTGTGGTAACCACATAGGATGGGAGAAAATTATTCCAGGCAGGAGCAATGAATCATTGCTGTATGAGATTATAATGTAACAATATTAAAATTTTCATAATTATATTAAAAATAGTTAAATGAAACAAACTTGGCACACTTTTAGAGATAATGCAAACCGATGCCTTTGAGAGTTCTTTGGAAAACTAGATATTAAGCACAAATCCACGAATCACAAAAATAAGAACACCTGCCTATGAAACATGTCTGACACTTCAACATGAAATGACACTTCGGAATTTAAACTGGCAAGTTCTTTGCAAACTTTCCGGTATTGTGGCATTTTTACAAAGTCGCTTTTGTCATAAAAGTGCAAGACGTGCGTGAAATCGAGGTTGAAAATTCCCCTACATTGACGTAAGCATTTATTCGTTACAAGGTTATTAGATTTTGTTAACGTGTATTGAGCGAAATTTCCATAAATTTACCCAAGCTTTTCAATACGTAAAAATATTATTGTCGTAGTGTGTAGTGTAGCTTTAAAATGGAAACAACACTATCTTTCTTGATTGTTTAGATTCAAGAAATTCCAACACTGCACATACCTTAATGTCGGGGCAATTCTCGATTACAGTTAATTCCGTTTCCGGTTGCAGCACCGATATGGAGCTGGGATCTTCGGGTAAACTCAACAAGTTCGTCAGTATGGAAATGGCCTCGCATCTGGGTGCCGCTTCCGCTATTTCCGACGCGTTTATGACGTCATTGCACGCAACGACCAGGTCCAAAAGCAGCAAAGACGAACCCGGCAGATGAAATGAGATGAACCTCGGGCCTAGGTACTTAATTGATGTAAACTTCAATAATTTTGAAGCACCCGTTAGAGCTAGAAATAAGCGTTAGTCACCACTTTTCTTTTAGGATATGATTTCGCATACCCGTATGTATAAAACTATAAAACTGGGGTAGATAGGTCCTATGCTTTTCATCACAATTCAACATCACAGTAATTAAAATTTTCAGGGCGATCTGTTTGCCGGCTTCGTAATCGTCAGGCAAAGACAGCGCGCCAAAACACCAAGGCAGTATCAGTACGACGGGTGGTATCAATTCGGGCGACCCGGGTCCCAAGTTCGTGTTCTCTCCCGACACGCCCTGGTTCAGTTTGATTTTGATCAGAGTGTTGGTGAGTTTATTTAGGTACTCAAACACCTGATGGTGGTGCTTCGGATCGCAGATTTGATTGACATCGCCCAACGCACCCAGCATCCGTTTCCACAGGATGACAGCAACGTCGGGGAGCCAGCCACGCACCGAACCACCACATATTATGCCCCTACCATGAAAAATAATTGTTTTCGTTGGTATACAATTTTTTTTGGATGCTTGGTACTTGTGTTCGGAAATCAGTAGAGATAAATATGACAGATTGAGTAGATTTTTTCGAAATAAAAGAAACCTCTTATTTGGTCACATATTTTTGGTTGAGCTTATTATAATACTTGTTTAATGCTTTGATATTCAGAACAATTTTCCATATTGAATCTATGGCAAATTCTCGTGACGGTTCGGCATTTTTCAAAGAGCATTTTTTCTTTTATGTTGCATCAGAATCACTTGTTATTGATGCAAAAAGAATGGTAAGAAATGAAGATAATTAGTTATGAACCTGTCAACTTAGGAAAACGCCAATATCCTTGATGATAAAAGATATGGTTAACATTAAATTATTGAATGAAAGAAAAAAAATGTGATTTTCAAGGAAAACATATTACCTTTATCACAACCAGATTGTTTCTACTTTGGATAAACTAAATAATAAGCTGAAGAAGGTGAAACCAATATAATTATTAGCTGTGCCTCCCTCCATAGAGTTATTTGTAAAATATGATTTAGGTAAAATATACAAAAAATAAGTAGTAATGAAGTTGCATAGACTGCCTACTTGAAGATTTAATTTCCTAAAGGAAGTTGAAATAGTATGCAACAAGTGTGGTAAACGGCTTTTGAGTCACGAGTTTATTTAAACGAGCGACTTATAAAGTTTATCAAACGTGTTGCACACTATACTTTTTCTATGGTCGTTCGTTTTTGAGTACATTTTTGTAAAACAATGCTAATACTGACATGACCGTCAGAAGTGACAAACGTCAAAATTTAAGCCGTGCGGTAATATCTCCAAAAACCTCTGAATGTTCGCAAATGCGTGCGAAATGTTGGAAGTGGCTCGGATCCGTGGGAAATGAAACTGACGTAAAATAACACTTTCCGCACTCTAGATCGGTGTATAATTAAGTATTTTATTTATTTTATTTTATTATATCTAAATAGACATAACATAATATTTAATATTTATATTTTTAAAACTACCGACTTGTGTTTGATTGCCATCAGCAGCATAGTTCGATAACTGCTGTCAAAAGCAAGTGACGCTATATGCCACGAATATTGTCGCTGAAATACAAGGTTTTGAAAAAGTTTTACTTTTGGTATAAGTAGTTTTCTATTATGGCTATTATATAAAATTACTTCGAATAATTATTAAAAAAAAAACATCTATTTTTTAACTTCCCAGCGGATGTACATTTCAGTTACACATATGTCTTAGAACTAACTCTTCCAGTTTTAGTAGAATACATTAAATTATGGTTTTTGGCGCCATTCGGTGTGAGTGTAAATGAAAGTTTTATTCCATCTTCTTACCTACGGTATTTAAGTAATGTCAAATAATTTATTTAGACTGTGAATTTGGTTTGCGTTTGCAACAATAAATATCTCTTGATCGGTTTGGGACTTTTTGGACAACCTACATAATATGAAAGTAACAAAAGAAAAACTCAAATACAGTGTGTGTCATTGGGTATATTCTAAATGAAAGTTTTATTCCATTTAGTTGCCTATGGTACTTAGAAATGTCAAATAACTTATTAAGGCTATCAATTTTTTGTGGATATGGTCTTGCTATAATAAATATCTCTTAATACCCTTAGGACTCTTGGGATATTCACAATAATATGACCCGCACATGTCCCAAAAGAAAAACTTTTTGAAAACCTTATACTTGTGGAGCAATTGAAAAGTTGTTTTCAAAAAGTGTTTTTAATTTCATCACTTACTCAAATATGTTAAATATCACCGTAGGAAATAAATTAACAAAATGTACTAACAGATCTTCAGACTAAAGAAAAAGTTAAATGGTTATCAATATTGTACCACATCATTTACATAGGTTTAGGTTTTGTTTTGTTTGAGCAACTAACTAATTTTTGTCACATAACTTATCATTTATTACAATCTGGTTCGTGAATAATTTAGTTATGTACAGGGTGTCTCAAAGAGTCAACACAAACATAAACATAGCAAAGAATCAAAAATTGTTTTAAAAGAACTGTATGTTCTTGTTGGGATATATATTTCTTGAAAAACACTTTTGTTTTCAATGAGGTAATGGAATAAAACTTTAAAGTGGTTAAAAATAAAATCAGTTTTGCAAGTGCACTAATTACACTTTTTTTTCTCAATTTTTGAAGCTTCTGAAGAGAATATACAGCCACGGACAAGGCTTGGAATTAAGAATATATATGTATATCTCTGAGGAGAAATATCAACTATAAAAAGCCTGATTCGGAGTACTGAGGCGAGTAAGAAGGTTGATGGATGGTTGCTTCATGCTTTATTGCATTCTCATTTAAGTTGTGGAGAAGTACTTTGGGGTAATTCTTCGTCTTATTGTATGTGTATTATTTAAATTGCAATAAGCAATCGAGATTTCCAAACTATGGCTTGCGCGTCAAATCCGGCCCATCATCAATCGGCTCCACTTTGAACACTAGATGTTGTCAAGTGTCACGGTCTAATCAAAACACACACAGAATAACAATTTGGCATTTAGTATAGATTGTTAGAGAGCGTACTCGACAAGTAGTTTAGATACATATTGACAAAAAGATTAACATGACTTTGGAACTTCAAAGTTAATGGAATAAATAGTATGGCCCTACAGTGGGAAAGTTTGAGGACCGCGGGTTTGTAAGATTACGCATTATGGTATTGCCCTGTCTTTAGTGGTTGCATAGCAATATTGTTAGAAGACATTTTTTTTTCAAACGCTAGATTTGTTTTGTTTTGCAATTTAATTGTTTGTATTTTCGAAATTTTTGTTGTTTAATCAATGTTTGTTTTATATTTCAAAGCATTCACATTTCCAGCCTTGTGTCTTTTTATACTACTCTGGAAATTTTAACTTGCTACAATTAAGTTTTTGAAAAAGATACTTAATAAAGATCATGATTATACAATTTCTTTTATAATCTCTCCATACCTGTGCTCTTCCGAAGGTTCTAGGGTGTGTTTCTCAGAAGAATCCATATCAAGCTGAATCGGAGAATCCTTTACAGAGCTGCACTCCAGTCCACTGCTTGGTGCTGGCGAAGGCGATCTCGATCTATCGGTCAAGTCGACATCGTGAGGTGGAATAATTTCTAACGACTTTGATCTACGATTTTTCTTCTGAAATATCTGCTTGTATAGAATCGAAAAATGCAATTTTGTCACTCCCGACTTACTTGATTACCTCTGTGGCTTCCCTTGGTTCGTGCGTTCAAATTAACATCACTGTAGCTTCTGGAAAGACCAGGCTTTATCCGTTTGGAAGAAAAAAGGTTTCCGTCTGGCAATGAAGGATCCTGCCTCGATGTTTCGGCACTGTTTACGTTTGAATTATAATTTTCCTGACGCACAGCAAACCGTTTCGTTTTTTTCGATTTCTGGTCGTTCAGTCGATCGAGGGGCAAGTCAGTTAAGTCCAAGTTGTATACGTGCCTCGCCAACACTCTCGTTAACGTTTCCATCGTTTTCTAAAATAACTACACTGTTATCTAACCCAAATATATTTATTCTCATTAACGAATATAAATAAATATAAACAATTGAAAATTTCTGAACTGGAGAGGTTTAAATTTTATTCTGAATTTTCTCATTAATTGCGAAAAGAAACTGCAATGTTTTTTTTACATGATAATTATGCATTTGAAACTTATTTGGACGTTACTTCTGGGGGCGTTGATTTCACCTTATTAGTTAGATAAATTGAATCATATTTTTTGAGCTGTCGAGTTATGATTGAAACAAGGTAAAAATCTCACACAATGTTGAATTTTTCATAGGAAAGGTACCCCTGCCTAGGTGGTCTAACTCTGTCAGTTTTTGACTTATGTGCATTTAAAAAGTTCAAGATATTTTCTCCGATTTTTTAAATAAACACTTAAAAGATGAAAATGTACATGGAGCAATTAAAAACCAAACCGGTTTACTTACTATTTGCGCAAACGAATTAACTGCGACTTAATCATTTTTCTCATAGTGAGATACTTGTTTTAACTCAGGCAAACAAACAAAGCATATCATAATACTCGAACTTAGCAATTATTGTCTTAAAAAGAGAAGTGCACTATTACCAAAACCTTCAATGTTAAATGTTAATTTTTTATTGCCCCCTTTTTTTTTTATAAAAACAACATTCTTTCAGATGTTCATTATGGTTCAACCATAACTTGACAGACAAAATGATTCAATTTATCTAATAATACGGTGAAATTAGTGTCCTAATTGTCATGTAAAAAAACCTAAATGAAAATTTTTATTATTATACTATAAAAACTTTATCAATTAATGAGAAAAAAATCAGAATAAAATTTTAAGGAAATATATAAGACACATACATATAGCAAATGATTTTGTTTTGGTTGTTCTCATGTTTTGTTTTTTTACAGGTGCTGTGCCTCATTCAATTCGAGGTAATTTTTGCATCAGCCCTAACATGAGCTATTTACTCACCGCCCATTCTTTGATTAACTCCTCCCAATTGGTTAGAGATGTCAGAATGTCCAAGAATCGATCCCAGAGTTCTCTAGATACTGCCACATTCAAGTTGGCCTTGATCCACGTGACTATCAATGTTTGGAAAATGGCAGGAGCCAACTTCCCGCCTAATGAATGCAGCTTTCTCTTCGGCGGTCCATCGCCCAGTACCAACAACGTGATTTGGAGCAACACCAAGAGCAACTGTTCCCTGAGTGATTTTCGTTTATGTTGATATCCAACATTTTGTTTAAAACAAAACTTAAATATACTCACGAGTCTAATTAATTTAATTACATAGCAATTCCAATGTGGTAAGTGCAGGAATAGTACATCAAATGCTTCATCAAAACTACATACATCAAAAAAGCCTTATTGTTTAAATTTGGCTTTAAAATGTAACTTACTAGTTAACACTGATTTTTAAAATTAACTTGAAAAACTCCGTCTTAGCAGTTGTAAAACATCAAACTTACCAAGTGTTACTGTCCATTCGGCTATTCATCACCATGTATCTGTATATGTTTAGTACCCTTTTGCAAGCATCGGTTTGCTCTTCCAATATCCGAGGAATTTTGGGGTCCACTTCAAGCAAAAAAACATTGGCGGCGTGTGTCACAAAAAGCTGATAAACATTCTAAAAATATATAGTATAAATTATCAGTATTACTAAATTGAAAACTATAAGAATAAAGTTTAAACTTAAAATTTTTTACCAAACAAGAATTCTTTCATCATCATTTATTTATTCAATCACTGATTTGAAAACAGTGCTATAAATATTAAACACGTCTTCTTTTGGGAGAAGTTAAGTCCTATTATTGTTACTTTATAAAATTACTTTCTTATAGACAGGTTGTCCCAATAGTGTTAAAAGTATCAAAGAGATATTTATTAAAATCAAATAAGTACATGTTCCAATAAGGTTTGTGATATCAGAATCATAAGAACTTTAAAATAATTTAAGGTTTGTCCTAATGTAATGTATCTAAGAAGTATTTAAAATATATTCGCGATATTTACAGTTGAGTGTGCAAGGTGCCCAAATATTTATCCTAATCTTATAAAAATTTTAAGTGGCTAAAACTTGATTCATTTAAATGGAACATCATATTTTTTAATTTAAATGGGAATGCACTTTTCAATTACCCAACGAATGGTGTGCTATAGCTAACTAAAGTTTTATTGTATCTTATTGCTTACGAAATTTGGAAATGTCAGATAATTTATTAAAACTATCTCATTTTACTATGGGTATTGCTTCCAACCACACTAGAAAATATCAATCAAATATGTAAGTATCTGACAATGGAAGCATGTTTTTCATTATGTTTATTTTAACATCAATTAGTTTTAATGTTTATTTTAACTTCAGTTAGTTTTCATCAGTTAATTATTGCATTAACCTGGAAAATAAATTATAATTGATTTTAATACATCTATATTATAATAATGTATAATATTATACATTATAATTATTAGTATCCACGTTATTGTTAGTAGTGCCTAGCTAGTTATTGCACCCCTTGGTTTTTAAAAATGCCGCAAGTTGTAACTCTTCTCTTACTCTTAATAATAGAATTTCCAGCAATATCAAGTAGTGATAAAGACAACCAAGTTGTCTACATTTTGACCAACATTTATTTAAAACACACCACAATTTTGCGTATTCTGCGAAAACACAAAGAGTTAGCTATGCCTTAAACTATTCAATACGAAATTAAAAAGTAGACTCCCTGTCAGGTTAGGTTAAATTTTGACAAAGTTCAAATTCAAATTTAAAAAAAGCATTAGGGATCACAAATGTTATTGAAACATACACTTATTTTGGAATTGCAAAATGCTAATAATATACACCAAGAGCAACTGTTCCCTGAGTGATTTTCGTTCATGTTGATATTCAACATTTTAATTGGCATTTAAAAAATGCTGTGATACTTTTAGCACTGTTGAAAGAACCTGTATAGTATGAAAGTAATTTAAAATGTTAATAATAGCATCTCACATATCCCAAAAGTACAAATTTTTGAAAACCTTGTATTTGGCCACAATATTCCGTTCTGTATAGCATGAATGACCCTGCATAATAATCAATTGAATTAACAATCTTTATTTAATTTAATTAATTTTAATTAACTAGCTTAACAGCCCTTACCTGCACGCCGGCCCTAACCAACAAATTTTCCTTATGTATGGCGCCCAAATAGGAATCATTTCTCAACCTGCCTCCTCTGTTAGCAATCGATCCAACATCCTGTTGATTTGCGGTCAATTCGTCAGGTGGTTCCAATGCATAAACCGGTAATTCAGCAACGTTACCCTGAATCAAATCTTTGTAGATTGCTATGATTTTTCTGATGGCGATCACGTGACTAAAATTCAAAAGAAACGCCTGCCTGTATAGTTCATGCACAAAATTGACATTGTCTTGGTTACAGTACAGGACGTCTCTGACAATTTGAGAGGCAAGTTTTTCCTCTGACTTTGTTTTGTTGCTTTGCACGGATATATCTACAAACAGCCACAAAATTATAAAGGAAAAATAACAAAGTTGCACTTACTCGAATCCAAACTGGGATGGGGAGAATCATGAGAATCCTCGTCGTCTTCCTTGTTACTTTGTGATGCGGAGAGTTGCGGAATATTATGCGCAGTCTCGTTACCCTTTCTGAGTGGGCTCAAATAGTTCGTAACCCAGATTATTAGAGACACCCGGCACAACACATACTCTGTTTCTTGCTCAAATTTTCTCCATACTGGCAAATCTGAAATGTTCAACTGTTAACGACAACTACAACAAAAGTGACATAGTTACGTACCCAAATTTGGGCGATACAAAGAAGTTTCTTTTGCAAAGTTCGGGCATATCACCGGTAAATAATAATGCCTAAACTTTTCCATCAAAAATCCGAAACATCTATGGTGATGGGACAATTTGTCCTGCCATTCAAGTTTGACCACAGTTTGAACCATGTAATCCAGCAGCACCTCTAAATAAAATCTAAAATTTGAGCAACGTGCATATGTTGGTGTCATAAACGCTATCTTTACCTGCCAGGGTGTTCTGGTGTTTTTTCGCCGCTAGAAGGGGGGAAAATTGGCACTAACTCTGACACCGTAACAGGGTAATGGTCATCATGAAACACGCTCTCGCTGGCAGGAAATGTGTGAGCGGAATGTTTGCCAAATCCGGGTACTAGTGATGCAAACATGCAATCCACGGATTCGGTGGTGTTTTCATTTAACGCTTGATACCTGCAGCAACAAAGCTACAAGAACTCGTCGTCGCCTTTGTTTTTGTTAATTAATTCAGACAATTTGCAGCCATCTACAGATGTTGGCGCTTACTCAGTATGTAAAGTTGCCCAAGTCAAAGATCGAAAATAATAACGGCTATCTTTGAGGTCAACAGTATACCGGGTGTCTCAGTAAGGGCAACCAGGTAGGGAATTAGGAAAACCATGGTTTTAAAAATTAAAACAAAATATATTAAATAAATCGACCTGAGCCAGGGGGCGGAATTGTTATCTTTAATTATAAAACTCGGTTTCTACAAAAATTTCTAATGTTGATCACATATACACTTCTCGTAAAGCATGTTTGTGTGATTTAAATATTTGTGGCATCCTAGGTAAACTTGCTATTTTTACCTAGAGGAGTATAAAAGAATTGATACAAAATGCAGGGTATCACAGAATAAAAGATGAAAATTTTAATTTCCATTCAATTAATTTTAATTTTATTTTAAATTTTTATGCCAATATTGGTTCATCTGTATATGTGGGTACAGTTTTTGGTGGTTGCCTTTTAGTCACAAAATTTAGAAATCTGATGTTTCTTACACAAAGAAGGTAATCTTCCAAAAGATTATTACAAATAATTTTATGATTTCAACGATAAAATTATCAAAAATCGATAAGTAAAAAATTGAGGTATGTATTTTCTGGGCCTTCATATGTGAAAAGTACCAAATTACCCTAGTTTTTAAGAACTTTTATTTTTATTCTAAGGCGTAGAAACAGGTGATTAAGATATTTACCTATACCTTCGGGACGCCCTAGAAGAAAAATAAAAAAAAAAAAGAAAAAAGAAGTAAAATTAGTCACAAATACCATAAAAAGTGCTTTTGAACATTAAGTCCTGATGAGCAGTAGTATCGATGAACAGTTCTTCAAATGAGTTCCATAACTTTTGTTTTTTGAGTAGGGGATAATATACATATAATAATTACATCCATTTTACAACTATTTTAATAGATGTTTCATGAAATTATCTTCGGAATTTTCTTATAAATGAACTTTTTTGTAATCGAGCATTGTCGCATGTTGTTTAAGACATCCTGTATGTAAACACATATAGTTTTTTAAAATTTGTCATTATTCTCTTGTCGGATTGTTGAAGTTCATATTCATATCCTTATTTTTTTTATCAGACTGTTATTCCTAGATTAAGTAAAGGCATATTAGCTTAATTCCAAAAGTCTTATCCATTCTATATTATTGATAAAGTCAAATTTTTGCGTCTCTAAGCCATTCAGATCTTTTATTAGATCATTTTATTATGGAAGTATAGAAAAACTATTGTTTTGTTAAGTGATTCAAAAAACAAGTTTTGTTCAAAGCGTTCTTCTTTTCAAAACGAAAATGAAAAAAATTGAGCATAGCATTAAATCCCAGTAATAAATCAGAAAAAAATAATGCTGTACCACATGAGAAAGTATTTGATGCCCTGTTTTCGTAGTCTTAAGGAATTGCCAGGGTGCAACAATTGGGCCATAATCCTGCCCAATGAATGAAGCTGCCATCTTTGGTGAATCAGCTCCGGCAAAAGGCTAATGACCTGTTCCAAGATCCAGAGGCTACACTCCAGCTCTTCTTTATGAGCTTTGGGCACTACAAATTCAGATAGTGAGAGCCATTGGTGGAGGTGATATCATATATAAACTTACCTAAATGGAAAGACAGTTCTGAGCAGCCCAATGTAGAAAAGAATAAGCAGTAGTTAGTGGACAGTGTTAATGTGGAATAAACAAAAAAAAATGTCTTTATTCCTCCTTTTCTTTAAGCATAATTTATCCTTGTTATTGTATAAATCTTTTAGTTAGTAGGTTGTTTTAGTATGGTTTTGACATGTTTTTTTATCTGTTTTTTAATTCAAAGTACAACTTGGAACAGTACAAAGATGAGATATCAGCAATATTTGAAATAATAAACAATAAACCAAACACCCAAAGATCATTGCAAATTACAAAGCAAGGTGTGAATATGAGAAGGAATCAGTTACCTCGTTGTTTCAGATTGGATTCCGTTTGCAGGAAACTCTCATAAAGAATTATATAAATATGACTAAAGTTGGCTTCAAATAAGCCCTTGGCTTCTGCTGTATCCACATTTTCTGCAATACATAACACATGAATATATTGCAACCCAGGTCTCGAAAAAAAAGTAGTACCTAAAATTAGTTTTAGATGTTTGATCCTCGTAGCTACATCTTTTTTAGGGTCTTGAAGTTTCGATGTTGACTTCTTCACATCAACCAAGTTCCTTTTGGTAAACATTATCTAATACGTTTTCGCCGACTAGCCCCAAACAAAGAACAAATTTTAATCGTTTTCCATTAACGATCATTTTTAATGGCCCAGTACTCTACATTTTTTATTTGAAGCCAAAATAATCGAAAAATACAAAAAAACTGCATTCAATTATATGTAATGCACCCTACTTGCTCCGAGAATGCAATTCCACAAGTTCTACTTCTTCTTTTGTTTGATATGATGTTAGGCAAAACTGTCAGGATTACTGGTTTACACCCAAATATCAAAATTAATCTAAATCACGGAATTTACCATGCAATTTATATATGTATTTTTAGCAGATAAAGGTTAAAACCATAAGCTTATAATTCGCTTTATAAATAGCTGCTAATTTTATGTATCAATTTTTTTACATCAAGAGTTTCACATTTTTCCTTTAAAGGGGAAAATGTATATTTTTAGCAAAATTGATTGCATTAAGAAAAAAAATAATAGTATTAATTTGATCTGTTGCAATACAAATTAAAGGACTAGACATATAGATGTCTTATAATAGAGGAACTTATGAAGCAACTATGAAAAAAAAAATGAAACGGTCCATTCAACATGCGCATACGTCACATTAAAAATCTCGTTTTAAGCCAATGACTTTGCGACATTCAAGTACCAACATGGCCGCTGACATTTTTGCAACATTATTTTCTTAAAATATGCCCAGAAAAGAAAATGGTGCCAAGTGTAAGTTGGTGGGTGAAATATAGAGGCACATCCTTTCCTACGAAAATATAGCCACCTGAGGCGCATCAATTTTTAGTGTAGTCACTATATTATCTAGTAGTTATATTCATCTGTAAACTATAGATGATAGATAATAAGATAATAAGATCACTTAAATATTTTGAATTATTGGTCTGTCATAATTAATAATTAAAAATATTATATTATGCTACAAGTGCGGTAAACGGCATTTCACTCACGAGTTTTGACACGAGCGGAGCGAGTGTTTAATAAACTAGTATAATAAAATGTATAAATCTATAAATAATTCGTGTTGTTTTTGCGAAAATGTACCCAAAAACTAACGGTCGTAGAAAAACTATAGCATGCAACACGTTCGGATACATTTTAAGTCACTCGTTTATTAAATACTCGCCCAGCTTCGTCCCGCTCGTGTCAAATAAACTCGAGAGTCAAATGCCGTTTACCGCACTTGTTGCATAATATACTATTTTCGATTTTATTACGATGTGTTAGGGCTTGCTGAATTTCTATTTATATTAGTTTTGGACTTAAAAAAAAGGGAAATTTTGTCTTAATGTAATTAATGTTGGTATCTAGTCTTGCTAGTTTGCGTTTCTGACAGACGACGCATGAAAGAACAAAAGAAAAGGGAAATATTTTGTGGTGTCAACATATGAATTTGTTTGGCTTTCATTTTGTAATAATATTTTAGTAATTTAAATTTTAATTTGGAACTTGGGGAAGATTGCGAGGACTAATAATACACTACTCTAAGTTGTCTCATTTGATTAAATATTTTTAACAGGTACGAGCAAAGCCTAGTTCAAATATATAGGTTATAGACATGATACAACAAACAATTGTATCATCGGTTATAGACAACAGCTTCGTGTCAACAAAAAGAAAATTCTGGCTCAATTTGCTAATTCTCTTTTATCGCAGAATTTGCCATGGCGGATCAGCAGCAGTTTTTCCTTAAGTGGAACGATTTCCAGAGTAATATGGTGTCGTCCTTTAGGCATTTAAGAGATGAAAAAAGTTTCACAGATGTGACTTTAGCCTGCGAAGGACAGACCTGCAAAGCCCACAAAATGGTCTTGTCGGCGTGTAGTCCGTATTTTAAAAGCTTATTAGAGGTAGATAATTTGCACAGTATTTACTTATTAATGACTATTTGTCTCTTATAGGAAAATCCATCAAAGCATCCCATCATAATCCTCAAAGATGTAGCATACAGTCACTTACAAGCGATTTTGGAGTTTATGTACGCAGGAGAAGTGAATGTAAGTCAGGAGCAATTGCCGGCTTTCCTTAAGACAGCAGATAGACTTAAAGTGAAAGGACTAGCCGAAGCGCCACAAGCTATAAAAAGGGAATAAAGGTTTCTCCTGTTTTAAGTAATTTTTTAGATGGCAAGTATGATAAAATAAGAGTTTTTAATCACTTTTTTGCTGTTTACAACTAGTTTGAGTTTTCTGGTTTTTTTTGAGTCCAAACACAGTAAGTGCTCTTAATAACAATGTAATTTTTAACGAATGCATCTACCTATAAGTTTTATCAGACTTGCTTTATTATACTCAAAAAATGATTTTTTCTTAGACTTTCAACTTTTTTTGTGAAAATAAGGTTAAGGTCTTAGGCAAAATGTAAAAGTCTGTTCATATATATCTACCATTTTGCAATAACTTTGTTACTCTTTGTTTTCGCTTACAATATTTGAATGTCAAGTGAGACATTGTTGGTCTAAAATGCACAGTTTTTGAAAAGTAACTTCTCATTGTCTTCAAAGGGGATTTTTCAATGATTGGACTGGGTCATGTGATTCATATTTTTATGACCATTTTAAAAGTAAAAGTATGAGTATAAAAATTGTGTGGTATAGGTGTGGTATGCTATCTTTTTAAATACTTTAATCACTTAATGGCATCCCTCTTGATTTTATAGAACAGCCTTAATTAAATTTGGTTTTAATACAATGGTGCTCTGAATATTGATTTGTGGTGAATTACATACAATACTTGCCGGACTATGTAAAGTATATATGTTAATATGCTGAAGAGTGCAGGAAGATATTTGTTGTCCGGAAATATGGATTTGCATAGGTATGATCAATTGCTCTTACCATATATTATTTTATTATATGGCAGTGCACTTATAGTTAAAGTTTGTCAATATTTTTAAGTCAGTTTTTGGGGCTTGCTGGTGTCAAAGAGTGAGGTTAGACTGTTTTGGGGGGTATGCTTTGGCACTTTGAATGACATATTGAGTTTTATTGAACAAACTATTGTGTAAAAGTATGCCTCTGTCTGCTGCGTCATTTGGGCGTTTGTTTGATATGACGCAGGGTTTGTTTTTGTGTAATAATTCTTTGAATAAACTTCTTTATGTTAAGGTTTTTTTTTGTAATTTTTGCAATATATAATTTTTGTTTTTAAGGATTCAGTAAATATAGTAATTAAGCATCATGTAATTCCTTGATTTTGTAAAAACTTTGTTTATAGTAAATACAGATATATTTACAGTATTAAGTAGTATTCTTTTGTTTATTTTTTTCTGGTATTTTGTTTAATTTTGCTCTTGCTTATTTCTCTTCAAATATTTATTAATGTAAATTTTAAGACACTTGATGAACTCTTCCCTTATTCTATTTTGTACCCACAGTCATTTACTCGGGCGTTATATTTATTGCTGCCATTTACAAAAAAATTGAAGAAAATTGCAGAAATAGTGCAAACCAGCTAAGCCACTGTTGCAATACCTGACAAAAGTCCTCAACAAGAGTTTAGGGCGCGCCATTTTCATAACACATTGAAAATTATGGTACACACAGTTTCAATGTTGTTGAACAATCCATTTATTCTAGAACTAACCTGAACAGATACAGTTAATTGATCCATTTGAAATACACAAATGATCACATGTTACGTTAACTAAATTAGACAAACATTTTAAGCGCCTCATTCAACAATATTGAGGCTTTTGTGACCTAATGCTACTTTTACAGTTTTACATTTTTTACATTTTTAGACACCCTTTAATTTAGCTCGGTTATATGTAAAACGTTTTGAAATGTAGAGTAGTCCGTTTTATTCTTAAACTTACAAATTTTGATATATAAACTAGACCTGTTTTATTTTTTAATGGAACGCCCTGGATGTCTTTTGATAATTTAATATAGGCTTGAAATTAGTTTTTCAAAAATATATGACACATAAGAACTATTTCAAATACAAAGCAAAAATCTTTATTTTTTTTATCAGTTTTTTATCATGGGAAATACAGAATTTTGGTTACATAAATTACATAGTTTATTGCAAAAAGTAGAAGGGAGAGCAGTTAGAAATTACAGTAATTATGAAATGGCATGACTGACAACTCAAGTATATATGAAAACGTAATATACGAAAACGAAAAAAAAGATAAATGCTTTATATGTGAAATAGCTCTTATAAGTTATTTGTGAGTTAGCAGGAAATGGGATTCACCTTTTCGATAAGTTTGCGCATTACAGAGCTATGTCACATTTTCAAACAAACATTTTCAAAATCACCCTGTATCTAAAAATTCAAGATAACTATGACATTTGCTCTTGTGTCAACTTTCATTTAATGAATAAGTAGCGATGGTCACGAAAGCCGCTAGCTTTATTAATAAGGGAGATACGCTGTAAAATCGTCAATAGAACACACTGTACATTATTATTTATTTTTGTATTATTCTCTATTTGTTTTGATTTCCGAGGATCATTTAAGATCACGATATAGAATTTTGTAAATATATTTGCACTGTTCCAGTTCAGGGACAGCTTATGGAATGCAGTAAAAAGATGCGAGTATAATACTGTGAAGGATATGCGACTATTTGTGCTTTTAAAATAAAACCTAATAGTTACCCTATTGGGCAGCATCTGATGTGTCCTCCTAAAGGAAACACTACTATAAGTTCCCCACACATTTAACAAATTTCTTGAGCTTAACAAAATGCTGGCATTATAAATTAAGTAGCAATTTGCTATATAAGAACTCGTACATCTGCCCAAGTCTCCAACATAACATGGTTTTCTTAATTAAATTATCCTTACAGTATTAATATTATTTATTTGAAATCGCTCTGTACACTGTGTCCTATTTTGGTTGCGCCTGAGGGGTATGGCTATTGTTAGTGAAAATAAAGTCTTGCGTTTTTGTACTTTTTTTGTGAAACGACTTGCATAATTTTTAAAATACTTTGGAAATTGGAAGTTTTGTTGGAAAGGTGAAAACCGCACCCGATATAGATTTTTACGTAGAATTCAGTGGTGTAGTCAGTTTTTTCTAAATTGTTTCGTCTTTAAAAAAAAAGTTTGTTTTTTTTAATGGAAAAATAGGCCAATTGATTTCGCTTGGTATGAGCTTTTCAAAATAGTATGACAGTATGGGGCTATTTGTATAAATAACCCCACAAAAATGATTTTTTTTTAATTTTCATGAAGGTATTTGCGCTAGGCCTAGGAAAAAGTATTTATTAAATATCTAAAATAGTGATCTTATTTATTCCTGGCCTTATTTACACAATAATTTTTACAGTTTTATATGAAGCCAACTTAGTGTAATATTAACATTAACAAAATGGTCGATATTTTGAGCAGTTTTCCAGCTTTATAAATTAAAATAATTATGTTCCGATTTGCAAAAAATACTAATATTTAATAATTTTAATGTTCCTTATCATTTTAATATCTAGGTTTTCGTTTGAGTTTATCTTTTTCAATAATATACCGGATTAGGATCTCGGTAAGAGATACAGGGTGACTTAAATTAGGACAAATTTGCGCATGGGTGAATTCAATAATGTTCCGTTTTAAAATTGAAGTAATTTTTTTACTTCCGGAAATATGGCAAAAAATCTGAAATTTCCAGTTTTCGTTTTTATTTTTGAACTTTAAACTATTTAAAAATTTGTAACTCATTGGAACTTTTTAGGCTTCATCTTATGGCTATGTCAAAAATCCCTTATGACGTTTCGTTTTTCTCAAACCACCATCAATTCATTTTCGAGTTTTTTTTATTGCCCCTATGCTTTTAATCTCTTATATCGCCCTTGTGTTGCTCTCGAAACTTTTCAAATTCTATTGTACTACTAACATAAGGTGACTGAAGAAATTATCGAATGTGTTGGTTGTCAAGTAAGTAGATCGGTTGCAAAAAGAATAACGCTTGTAAAATTATCAAGTAAACATTTTGTCGGTTTAAATAACAAAAACCGGTACGCTCGTGTTCGACACCTGACCGCTGGTAAGGTAAATACCTACTAGACTGTGCTGAGGCCGGAATATCATTAAATGTACTCCGTTACGAACGAAAAAATTTTGAGCTGCTTTAAAAAACTAACCAGAGTGTAGAAGATATAAAGTAGGAACTTACAAGTTTCAAGTTTTTCTGAATTAAAAAATACAGTGGAAGCCCTCGAGACGGAAAATATTAGGCTTAATTTAAAAATTGCGTTTCAAGATGAAATATTAAAGAGGAAAAATATTCTTGTATTTTGGACTTTTTGAGGAAGAAAGTGTACCACTAAAAGAACTTTTGCTGGATGTTTTCAATAATAGGCTAGGCGATCTGGATAATTTCTTTAGAATTGTTGAAAAGAAACATAGGAAATGCACACCACTTTTAGTAAAGTTTATCAGTTAACTAAGTAAACAATATGTACTTAAAAATGCCACAAAATTGAAAAATTTTGGCAAGTGTGACACAAGATATGACACAAGAAAAAAGAGCGGAAAATAAAATTCTATATGAATTTTTAAACCTTGCTAAATAGGAACAGTTTAGCGCAAAGATGAGAAAGAACAAACTAGTGCTGAATAATCAGGAATTTACAGTTGAGGCACTAAAAACACTAAACAAAACAAAGTTCTTGGAACCAATCGGTAACAGACAATCCCTTTTTCGTAATTCAAGTCCATCCCGTATTCCATTGACAAAGCACTCGAAGGAAGATTATTTTGAAGATGATGCACACGACCAATTTACAGTGCTTGAGGAAGAATTTGGAATAGATACCCTAAAGCAGCACGTTGTAGAGGTGTCAGAAAAATGAGAGAAAGACAGGGGAACAGAGAACAACTTTTCGCATTGAAAACCTCAAGAGTTCGGCCAAGAAAGTTTATTCACAAAAAGATTAATTCTTTTATCTCTGCTTGTTTATTTATTTATAATTTTTTTCTTTTTCCGCTGTCATGAAGCTGGGTCACTTAAATGTTCGATCAAAACTCAGAATCAGTGGTTATCTGATTATATGACAACGTTGTTTTTCTTTAGGATTATCGATACAGTTACATTAATAATAATAATAATAAATAATAATAACTTGATTTTTTCTTATGGTCGCCATATTGGATTTTTTCAGTGTTAAATAGCACGTATTATTACATTTTTATTGATGTATCATAAGTTGTATTTGTATTGCCTCAAATTCGAAAAATTGAACAAAAGCTTTTATACCGTAGTAACAAACGCTTAATCAGTGTAAGTTTGGCTATTTAAAGACGTTGTATCCTAACGACTAGCAATCATTGGCTCCACTATGTTCCTTTAGTAATAACCTCGGAAAGCTGGTACGCTCTGGTTCGTTTGGCTTACGGTTTGTCCTCAGACTCCCATCTCATCTAACTGGCTCTTCCTCGGACTCCAGCAACCATCCTATATAGTCGGTTTGCTCTTGGGACCCCGACTCCCACCTTGTAGATCCGGCCCGTCCTTGGTCCACGGTCACGTGACCCTCGGATCGCAGTTATAATTCCCCTTGTGCTTTATCATTGCTTAGTTAGCGTCTAAACGATAATTTTACTTTGTTCCTTATGATTCTTATATGTTAGTATTAAGATTTATATAAATATGTATATAAATATGTGCATTGTAAGTCAGTTCTTGACCAGTTTTTCACAAACCACGTTCGACTGGCGCAGTCGGCAGATTTTTCGTGAAACAAACATCCAAAAATCGGCACTGTTTGGCCTTCTTCAAAAGTAAATTCGCGAGGAACCTACACACATAAAAACTGTTCGAATGGTTCAAGGCTCACAGGCCAGGGGTTGGAACAAGCATCGTCTACAGCCCTATTGGTACGAACAACGGGACAACATCGCTCCGAGTTCACAGATAGGCCAGGGAGAGACAAGCATCGCTCGTCCTATTGGGTTAGTTTTAAGAATACAAGCATCAAAGAATACGAAGAAAACAAACCAGCTTCTAATAAAAATCGCCGTTCTCAATTTAGTCCTATAAGTTCATCCTTTACGTATACCCCGTTTTAAATATTTCCCTAATTTAAACTGGACGATTTGATCTCTCAATTTCAAACGCTAAATTTAAAAAAATAATTAGAAATTCTCAAAAATTTGGATATTACCGATTCTGATCCTGATTCAAATTCTAACTTGGAACTAATGCCAGATGCAGTTAATCTCCAATTAATTGATACCATTATTGGCAAATTAGTTGGAAGAGCAGCAGATATGATAGCATCTCGTTCCGAATTGG